ATACAATTTTCTTGGAAAAAAACTTTTACCTACTTACCTCTTTTTTAAGATTCAAGACTTACTTTCAAAGTTCCCGCTTTTTTTTCAGAGAAGCTTGACTGACTGATTTCTTTCTAAAACAGCACCTCCCCCATTATTTTCTACCTTAATACCTACTTATTTCTTTTATAGCACAAAACTTATTTAGGGATAGATTATTTAGTAGTAGTAGTATCTATACTAATAAAGGGTAATATGCTAATTAGACCAGATAGACTGGATGTCTTCCAGACAAAGCCATGGTTGCAGGTGCTGAGGCAGAGGTGGTTATGGGTGATCAAGCAGGCAGGCAGAGTGGTTTAGGGGCAATCAGGCCATCTGGGGAGAGTGGTTAAGGGTGATCAAGCCATCAGGGGTGAGTGGTTAGGGGTGGTCAGGCCAACAGAGGAGAGCAGTTAGGGGCGATCAGGCAGGTAGGCAGGTGAGTGATTAGAAGCCAGTGGTCCCGGGTTGCAAGAGGGATGTCGGACATCCCCCAAGGGGTCCCGGATTGGAGAGGGTGTAGGCAGGGCTGAGGAGACACACACACACACACACACACACACACACACACACACACACACACACCTGCAAACCCTATGCATGAATTTCATGCACCGGGCCTCTAGTTAATACTATATTATACTAACCAGTTTACTTACATGTAGGTTATTTAATATTGGTACAGGAAGAAAGATATGACAAAAGCCCTAAAGGAAGTGACATGGTAAACAGAAGGTATTTCAGGGTTGGAAATAGAGTTTTCGTGAGTGAAAAGAGTAAGTATGGGAGTACCTTTACAGAGAAAATAAAATATGTGGTCTTCTAGGACTCTGGGAAAGGGTGAGATAAGTAAAACTTCTAACATTTTTAAGGTGAAAAAGATGTTAAATAAAGAATTACCTGAATTAGACCTGATTTACCAAGAATAAATGGAGTTGAGAAGACTCAGAATACTTATCAAGTGGAGTGCCCTCAAGGAATAGGGGTGAAGCTCCAATTTTAGTTTGATTGAGTGAAATTACAATGTTTTTGGTTCTGTGTGTTTTTTTGAAAGTACCTTCTGGTCTATTCTAGTAAGATGTTATTAGAAATGGTGCAGGGACTGGTTTAAGTTACATGTGTGATCATGTTAATGAGTGCATGTATTCTATAGGGGTGAATGTAGCATTGGTCTAAGGTAGAACGTTATGAATGTGCTATGAACACTCAGAAGCGGGACCTGAACTCTTATTCCCCTGTCCTCTGAACTGACCTGCCTTCGCTATGAATTAGAAAGGGGTTGAGCTATATCATCTGTAAATCCCTTTTCATTTGTCAAATGATGAGATTGTATAAAATAGATAAAGTTGAGTGTTTAAGGGTTCAGATAAAAATGATTTATAGAAGAGAAGGAGAAAGAACAAGTATGGAGTTTATAATAGCTTTTACCTCCTAACTTCTTCATAGCACTCTGTAACATTATATCTGTAACTGTACTTATAGAGCCCTTTGTTTTTAATAGTCATTCACAAATGTGATCTCATTTTACTTATATACAAATATATGGTGGTAGGGATAATAATTAATATCCCCATTTATAGTAACCTAGCTAGAGGAATGAACATTAAATTTTAGGTCTTGTTGTAGTTGTGCCTCTAAGAATGTCATTAGCAAACTGGACTTTTGAGAGTATGTTAGGATTTTCTCATATCAATGTGATCATTTTCTTTTAAATGGTTACACAGTATTACTTTGTAGGGGCATGTCATAGTGTAGTTAACTAGTCCTTTACTGATGGACATAATGGGTGTTTTAGTCTTTAATTTTTATAAGCAGTGCTATAAGCACTCACTGTATAATAATAGTTTTTTGGTTTTTTTTTTTCCTGTGGAATAAAGTCTTAGAAGTGATATTGCTAGGTCAGAGGGGAATTTCATTTTCCAGTCTCGGTTTTGTCATTCTTGCACTCTTGCTTTTCATAATCTTAGAAAAGGTAGACTTTTATAGCTGGAAAGGGACTTAGGCACTATCAAATTCAGTGGTTCTCAAAGTGTGGTTCTTGGATTAGGAGTAGCAGCAGCAACCTTGGAACTTGATACAAATGCAAATTTGTGGGGCACACCCCAGACCTCCTGAATCAGAACTTCTGGGGGACCCATCAGTTTGTGCCAACAGCTGATTTTACATATAAGGAATCTATAAACAGAAAGGTGAAGTATCGCCCTAACTGGTTTGGCTCATGGATAGAGCGTTGGCCTGATGACTAAAGGAAGGGTCCTGGGTTAGATTCCGGTCAGGGCATGTACCTTGGTTGCAGGCACATCCCCAGCAGCTGATCGATGTGTCTCTCTCATTGATGTTTCTGACTCTCTATCCCTCTCCCTTCCTCTCTGTAAAAAAATTAATAAAATATATTTTAAAAAATAACACAAAGAAACTACAAACCAATATCTCTGATAAATATAGATGAAACAAAATAATAGCAAACTGATAATACATAAAAAGAATACATCACAATCAAGTGGGGATCATTCAAGTGGCACAGGATGATTCAACATATGTAAATCAATCAGTGATACATTGCATTAAAATTAAAAAGAAAAGTAAAGTAGGAGGCCCAATGCATGATATTCATGCATGGGTAGGATCTTTAGGTCTGACAGGCAGTCAGGGCCAATTGGGGCTTTCCAGCGGCCAGCTGGGGCCTTCCTTCTCCAGCTGCCCGCCCGGGGCCTTCCTTCATATCACGTCGCCCCCCTGATGGTCAGCACACATCATAGCATTTGAACACTCAGTCTCCTGATCAAACTCCCGAGGGGATACTTTGCATATTAGCCTTTTATATCTATTTATAGATTGGTAACCTCTGTTATATTTCAACTGTAACTTGCTGTTTTTCTTATGTTGTTTTACTTTAAAAAGACATTTTGTTTTTAAAGTTATCAATATAAAAAATAGTTCAGTGATTCAATTCCTACTTTTTTCAATTGTGCTTCTCTGCTGTGTTTTTTGGGACACAGCAAATTCAAATGAATACTGTTTTGAAGTTTCATCATGAGTCTTGAGATTCAGCTGACTTTTTAAAACCAAACCTTAAATTAGCTCCCTGGTATTTTTCCCATACAAGTCTCTTTGTTGTCTCAAAAGGTGACCTCTGACTTCTTTTTCACACTCCTTTCCCATCCTGTCACGCCATTCCTCCTTTAGAATTTCCAAGCTATATTCTGCTCTTAGCTACTCCACTCCTTGCCACATGTTGTCTCTCTTACCTTTTCTTTTCTCTGTACTACTAAAACCCTCTTTTTACTGGTTCTTGTCTTCTTGAAGCATTTGGGTCTTTGAGATTGAACAAATCAGTATGGCTTAGCATTCCGATAGCATTTTGTTTTTCCATTCTGTTTCTCTATTCTCCTGGCTTTACTTTATTGATGTGTGTTCATATCAGTCTTATTAGCTTATGTGCTCCTTGAGGGCAAGGGTCATGTTTTAGTTGGCGGATAAATGTTGGTTAGCATTGTTCTTATGTACAGTTGAGAACCAGTAGAAAAGAACGTATTCTGTACTACCCTCAATATCTATAACCTTAGCTGTTTGTAAAATACTATTGATTACATGGGATTGTAGTTACAAATAAGCATTCATTTTATATCAACCTCTTCCTTGAATTTTACTGGTGGAAATTTAATCAGATTAACTTATATTTTGATCCTGTTATATGTCAGGCATAATATTGTTTGTTGAAGACAACCTGTTTCTAGTGTGATTTTCATACAGAAAGGACAGTTTGTTGTTATTATTTTGTTATTGTAAACTTGAAACATAAATGTATCAAGAGGATGTTTAAATTTTTTTAAATTCTTACAAGGTTATAGTTACTGTCTTGTTTAATGTGTTGTGCTAAATACCCATATACCCAGACTAGGTGTTTCTTAATGATGAAACTTCACATTATAGTAAAACACAAAGTTTTCTTAGGTTATCTTAAGATTTTGCCAAGAAAGAATATATATGCTTGGTATGTGATGAAATGAACATTTTATCACTTTTATTTTTCTTTTTCCTTAAAGCCTTATAATTTTATACTTTCATAAAATTTATTGTTTTGACTGGTACTCAAAATACGCTTTATAATATTTTAAAGAACTTCTGAAAAGAAGCAAATTTTGGTGATGAATTTTTACATGGTTGCCTGGTGCCTGCAGTGATTGGGTTCATCAGGCACATGCTCATGTGAGCTGTCTTGAGAAGTGGCGATGTTATGGCTGGCGTAGGGCCAAAGTTAGCTACTTTGAAATAATGTGCCACTGTAGGAATTTTGAAATTATCTTTTCCAAGACACATGATTTTTTTTGTGAATTTTTTGGCTAATTGTGTGGAAAACGGGGGATGTGTTCAATGCTTTAATAAAATTTTGTGATCAGAAATAAATTGTAAAAATAAATATAATAGATTACCAGCTCATTTAGACACTTGCTTTACTTTATCAGCTGTATATTGGGAATTTATATACAGTGGTGTCTTTAATTGCTATTTTAAAGTCAACAGTGTTAACCTTACTGTAATGTAAGCTTGTAAGTTTAGTGTTATTGTTATAGCATAACAAGCCTAAGCAAAACTGTTTTATCATTGTCTCTAGACTCAATTAAAAGCCAGTACATGAGAAGGTAGAAAAATGTCATTCTTTTTCTGTTCCCAGGAATGTGTAAGTCAGCACAGGAGACTTTTTGCAAATGAAACAGGAATCATTCTTCACAACAGCTTTCAAAATTTCACAATGCTATATAACTAAATTTTCAGACTTATCTGGCAGCTTTAATTTAGTTAGTTGCCAACAAATTATTGTCATATTACTTGTCCACAATCAACTGGAAATTTATGCTGTTAATATCACCAGTGGCAGGTTTTGCTGAGTGGTTAATAAAGTGAAGCTATAGTTCTTGTATCTAGCATTCATTTTATATCAAGATGTAGAGTTGAGATTCTCATTGTTTGTTTTCCAGTGAACATTTGTCCTGTGCTTTCACATTCTTTCTTCACGGGGAAAGTAATGTATGCACAAGTGTGGAGATTGCCCAACACCAGCCAATTTATTTGATCAATGAGGAGCATATACATATGGCTCAGTCTTCACCTGCACCATTTCAAGGTAAGTAAATGCTGATGTTCTGCTCTCCTTCTTTGCCCTCTCCCTCCACCTTACTGGCTAGCCAGCCATCTGCCCAGTTAGGTTTTGCAAAATGAGATATTATCTTTAATGGACATTTTAAAGGTAAGCCTAAGTGTCACTTTCTGAAGAAGAAAGACCAAAATTTCACAATCCTTCAATATAATACAAGCCTAATATACTAAGTATCCAGTCATCCATTTGGCTGTTCAACCAATCAAAGCATAATATGCTAATGATATGCTAAGGCCGCTCAACCACTCATTATGACAGGCATTCATAGTCAACCAGTAGACCAGTAGCATGACGTGCAGTGACCACCAGGGGGCAGATGTTCTAACCAGTAGGTTAGCTTGCTGCTGGGATCCCGCTGATTGGGATTGAGGGAAATAGGCTGGACATGCCCTGAAGCCCTCCTACAGTACTTCCTTGGTTGGCCAAACTCCTGCATCCCTCCCCAGTCCCGATCGTTCACCGGTGGGGGCCCTCAGCCTGGCTTGCATCCTCTTGCAATCTGGGATCCTTTGGGGGATGTTGAAGAACTGGTTTCAGCCTGATACCACAGGCCAGATTGAAGGACCCCGCTGGTGCATGAATTTGTGCATCAGGCTTCTATTAAATTATAATAGCTTGCTGATTTTTTGTTGGTTTGTTTTTGCTGAAAGTTTATCACATATATAAGGTGGTTTTATGTCAGGTTGAGTTGAGAAATAAAATGTAGAGAATTCCTTCAGAAAAAAAGATGAATAAGTATTTGAAAAACATAATCCTTATAAATTAAAGGTTTTTGTTTGTTCTACTGTTTCAAGAATGCCATCATTTTCAGATAATTACTATTAGACTTAGTATTTGAAATTTTAATCAAAATAAAATTTCTAGAGTTGTGTAATATATAATTTCTTCAGTGACAGTAATAACTTTATTGCTAACTCTTAATTATTGGCTACATTGATTGTAGGCATTTGGTTGTAATTTAATAGACTTTCATATTTTTATTAATTCTCAGCTTATCACCAAAGTATTACCAAAATAACTCCATGTCCTTTTGAACTAATTGTGCATTCTATATATCTTTGGGATTGTGTTGGAATTCTGAATTTTCTATAAATAAGTTTTAAAATATTTTAATATTAGATTGAACCATATGGAAAAATCTTTTTTTTTTTTACCAGTCCAATTTGTCTTTGCTAGAGATGTCTGATTAAAATAGTCTTAGTGTATTACAAAATATAATTTTTAATGTAATTTAAAAATATAATTTTTTAAATGCTGATATTTTAACTAACATGACAAGTATTTTTATTGATATAACCACCTGTTATATTAGATAACTGTGAATGTTTATTCTCCATATTATTTACTAGAGACCCCGTGCAAGAAATTCATGCACTTGGTGGGGGATGTCCAGGAGCCCTGAGGGGTTGGGGTGTCCTACTGAGGGCTTATCATTGCCATGGAGGTGGGAGAGGCTCCCACCACTGCTGCTGTGCTCTCCAGCTGTGAGCCTGGCTTCTGGCTGAGTGGTGCTCACTCTGTAGGAGCATACTGACCACTAGGGTGTAACTCCTACATTGAGTGTCTGCTCTTTGGTGGTCAGTGCACATCATAGTGACCAGTCATTCCAACATTTGGTCATTTGCATATTAGCTTTTTATTATATAGGATGTTTGTCTTTTTGGTTTTCTACAGTTGATTCTCATTTAATTTGATAAAAGCATCTGCTTATTGCCCTAAAATATTACCTACTTTCCCCCTACCTCCCACTTGCAACATATTTTAAACTATATTCATTATTATTCTGTAATTTGGGGTGTTTTATGTATGAGCTGCTATAAAAAACAGCCCCATTCTCAGACTGTATACTTGAGAGTTATACATTATGCACATATTATGGATTGTCAAAATTTCTTAAATACCGTATTTTCCAGCGTATAAGACAACCGGGCGTATAAGACGACCCCCTAATTTTACAGTTAAAACATAGGTTTAGGCCTATATTCACTGTATAAGACTACCCACCCACTTCCGAGGCAACACCAGTTCTTTTTTTAATAGACTGCCTCTCTGACTCTGGCCAATCTGAGCAGGCTTTTTACTAGAACACAGTGTACATGTTCTGTACCCAAAGCTACACAGTATACATGTTCTGTACCAGAAGCTACACTGGTACAGATTGTCCAGAGCCAGAGAGGTGGTCTATTAAAAAAAGAACTGGTGTTGCCTCGGAAGTGGGGGGTAGTCTTATACAGCGAATATAGGCCTAAACCTATGTTTTAACTGTAAAATTAGGGGGGTCGTCTTATATGCCGGAAAATATGGTACTATGTTTCCTTGACTGTGAAGGTGCTGAGGACCATCTGATTTCATTCTAGATGTTATCACTCAAAAGAACAGCATTTCTTTATGATTAGAAAAGGAATTACTAGTCATAAGGGAAGGTAACTAACCTAAGTTGATAAGGATACTCTTAGGAATACTAGGTCCCTATAGACCACTTATTTTAAATCTTACTAGTTTGTTGCTAATGCTTCAAATCATAGAGAAAACTTTGTGGGACATTATCCTGCTTATTTCCCTAGATTAGTGTGAGGAGGTACATTCTTAGAGCAGGTGCTGGCCTATAGATAACTGTAGTGAACATGACATTGATGTAAGAATTTCCTAGAAGTGTTAATATAGGAAAATTGCCCTTGATTAACTGTATTTGGAGTCAGTAATTTTATCCCATTTGAATCAGTGAGGAACAGCAGAAAGGCACAAAGAAATATGTGATGTCTACAGCTATCTCTGTCTTGATTGATGTGGTATACCATCCAGCTGTTAAATAAAGCCATCAAGAAGAAAAAGAACATCCCATTTAATAACTATGCTGAGGTGTTTTTTTGTTTGTTTGTTTGTTTTTTAAATTAGGAGTAAGAAAAAGTGACCTCTTTATCCCAGAAAAGTGTTATTCGGAAGGTTGAAATACTCACCCTGAGGCTAAAAACTGGCTGGGTTACACACAGCACTATGTTAACTACATTTTTTGTGTCTATCTCAGTGAAAATGAGGTCAAGGTCAATGACTGAAGGAGAAAGATAGAAGGATTTTGAGTTCTTTACTTTAGTAAAAGAAATTTTATTTGGAGTTGTTTTATCAACAGCTCTCTAAAACAGTAGAGATAATACTTGAATAACAATCATATTGGATAGTAGGTAAATTAAGGCTTTTCTGCTATTTGAAGTTTTATTTATGCATTTTGGTTACCACAGCCTTTAGGAAGTATCAGGAACCATAGGAAGAGTGTTCAAGTTCTTAGCAAGTTTTGGGGTTGTATTGAGTGGTTTTATTCTGTTATTGAAGACTCAATGTTTATGTTGTATGAGCTATTATCAAATTGATAAGTATAAGCTTTAACATAGAGATAATTTATATACTGTATGTCGATATAGCTGTCTGATAGTACTGTATTTCCCCCATTTGATTTCCTTCAAAAATTGATGTGAGTTGAGAATATAAATAAGTAGTAAAATTAAAAACTTTAAAAAAAATCACACTTTGAAAGGAGTTAGCAAATAAAGAGCAATATACATTAAGTGATGCTATACTTTAACCTAAATGCTATACTTATACCACAACACTTAAGTAGGAATTATTACTGTGATCTGTAACCTATGTTTCTCCTCCCTGCCTTAGTACTGGTCAGTCCTTATGGATTAAATGGCACGCTAACAGGCCAAGCATACAAGATGTCCGACCCAGCCACCCGTAAGTTGATTGAGGAATGGCAGTATTTCTACCCAATGGTGCTGAAAAAGAAAGAAGAATTGAAAGAAGAGGAGTTGGGATATGACAATGATTTCCCCGTGGCAGTTGAAGTAATTGTTGGTAAGAGAAAATATTTTGCCTGAAGAACTTAATTCTCTCTTCCTCTTCCTTAATTTAAAAAGATAATCACTCAGATTCATCAAAAATAATCTCCATAATTTCCCCATTTTTAAAATTCTCTTGACACAGTGGTTATACTGAATAGTTATCTTGCCTGAAGCACCAATAGTCCCTGGATTCCAAATGCTATTATTATAATTTTGGAACACATGGTTAAACAGCCATTAACTTATAGAAGAATGAAACATTCCACTTTTTGCAGGACTTAATGAGTATTCCATGCTCACCAGAGCTTTGACTCTGACCACTGTAATAATAAAGTTGGCAGTCTAGTGTGTACTTTCTCTCAGCCCTGATTTTCTCCTTGCTCTTTCCTTACAGGTGGTGTCCGGATGGTTTATCCTTCAGCTTTTGTTCTGATTTCTCAGAATGATATCCCAGTTCCTCAGAGCACTGCAAGTGCTGGAGGCCATATTTCCGTTGGGCAGCAGGGACTTGGTAGTGTGAAGGACCCAAGTAACTGTGGGATGCCTCTCACCCCGCCCACCTCTCCAGAACAGGCCGCCACAGGTGAGGATAACCTAGGACTATTCTGGGCGGACGAGATCCCAGGAAATCATATAGTTCCCTTGCCATACAACAGGGAGAAAACTCATCTCAAGAAATTCATGGAGAAAGAGATGGAAGTAGGGTGACACAGAAATCTTACAAAATGGAAAAGGAAAAATTTAAAGAAACAGAATTTATATGTTTTAGAATCTTAGTCTCTAAATTATCCAGTTAAATAATTTAGTTGTTTCTCTTAAGTTCTATACACACATCTGCCCCTTTTAACACATGTGCATACATGTGCTTACATATTTTCAGGAAACAAGATGAAGGCTGCTTCTTTATTGTACATCAGACTGTGGCTGGAACTTTTGCTCAGTTGACTGTTGCCATCCAGGGATATGTCTTGGACAGTTTTTTTTCTACTTTGATAAAGTTAGGCCAGCATCCAGGAGCTCTGAATAAATGCTTTGTCCTGTCAGTAATCTTTGTCCATTAATTATGTTTTTCAAAATGTCAAAATTTTGACAAACTGTTTTCCTTCATGGAAAAATTAAGAAATTGTTTAAATTGAGAGGATTTTGCCTTTTTGTTGAACAGTATATTTTATATATTAAATTTTATGGTAGTTGACTTTCATTGGAAATCTATTCACTAAGGAAAAGATATTCATCATATCTGAATTGCAGTGGGATTATTTATAGGCATTTAATGTGGACCATGTTGGCAGGAACATCAAAATAAATAAAGTCTTGGCTGCTAAGCTTTAAAAACACTCTCAAGCATGCTGCACACCAGCATGGTAATTTTCATGAGGATTAGACATTCAGTTTCTAGCATACTGCTTGCCACATAGTGGGGCTTCCGAAGAAGTTCATGGTTAAACAGTATGTTGGGAAAAGTATAGATTTTTTGATTGAACACACCTATTTTTAAAGCTTGTCTGTAGCTTTTTAGGTTAGTGACCTTATTTAATTCTCATATTTGTTCTGAACCTCAGTTTTCCTTCTCTGTCAAATACTCTGTTCTTTTTAAAATATATATATTTTTATTGATTTCAGAGAGGAAGGAATAGGGAGAGAGAGAAAAAAAACAAAACATCAATGATGAGAGGATATCATTGATTGCTGCCGCCTGCATGCCCCACACTAGAGATCGAGCCCACAACCTGGGCATGTGCTCTGACTGGGAATCAAACCATGACCTCTAGGTTCATAGGTCAACACTCAGCCACTGAGCCACACCGCTGGGGACAAATACTCAATTCTTTACAAGGTTGTTATATAGATTAGGTACTATACTTGACAGAGTTGTGTAAACAGTTTAACAGTATATGCATGAATTACTCTGATACTGTGTGGGAGACATAGAAATGTACAAGATGTGGCCTGTGTTTCTAAGGGTTGTGTAGTTGCTAAGATGGTGGAAACACGTGCATCTGGCTCTAACTTGGTAGAACAGAGTTTGGATGATTCTTTGTAAAAGGATTTGCTCAAACAATTTTTATTAAAACTACTTTAAAATGAAAAAGAAAATTTACTTTTATCATTTTTTATAATAATCACCATAGAGAAGATACATTAAGGAAAGATTAGAACTATCATTATTTTAAAATTTTAATCACATTTCATATAAAGGTTCTATTTTTAACAATTGCACTCCGTAAGTTGTCATCCCTCTTTGTTTTATTTACTTTGCCCAGTATTTAGTGAAATTTGTATTCAACTTAAAATTGAAGACTTACTGTATGCATAAATAAGGCCTTGACCTCTGATGGATAAGTTCAGAACTCTAAATGTCATAACTCAAAACTGAGAGGTTTTGTTTATGGTGGTTTTTAGTGTGGAGTTCATGGCTATAGATCTTCCAGCTCCTTCCCCTCTTACTCTGGGTGTGTCATTGTGCTAGGTCCTGGGTAAATAAGTTCCCTGATGCTTCCTCCCTAAAGCAAGCAAGCAAAAACAAAACAAAACAAAACAAAAAAAAAAAACACCAAACATAATGAAATTAAAGTTACTGGAATCTTTGTTGTAAAATGAACTTGTCCAAATGTGTACATGATGATATGTGAATTACAGCTTAAAACTCTTTCTCAGCAGAAAGAGTCTTGCTCAGCCTTGACTGCATTGACTAATATTGTACGTTGCCATGGTTTTCTAGATACAGGATGAAATGGATTACTTTGCCCCCTAAAATGGCCAAGATTGCATAGAGTAACGGGACCTAGTAGGACCATTAGTTTTGGTGAAGTTACTTGTGAATAGGCACATCAGCTTGCCACTTCTGTTTATGAAGACACTTATAAGAAATAACATTCAACATGCATTTAACAGGAGTACAAATCTTATTTAGTTCTATATAAGATATCACCCACATTTTAGCTAAATTATCATTGAAAGCATTGACTCAACTTTAATTAGAAAAGACTATTGCTTGTTTTCTGAACCCCTCTCCTTTATTGGTCATACTTACTTCCTTTAGTACCATGGGCATATAATCTCTTTAGCTGTAGGGTGTTTGGTGGCAAATACTGAGTTATCTACTTCTGCTGTTTATTTCTTCACTTTGCTTTGTTTTAGAATAGGCATTTGTAAGTCCATTGTAAAATTGAAATGAATTATTTTGCATCATGAACCAAATCAGGGAACTTGTAAGATAAAAGGTAGCAATGAAAGACCAGTTTTCTTTGTCTCATTTGTAATGTAACAGTACTTTTCTGGGGAACAAGAAAGCTTCCATTTCTTAGGAAGTACGCATTTGGGTTGGTTTCTTTCTTTAAAAAAAAAAAAATATATATATATATATATATATATATATAGAGAGAGAGAGAGAGAGAGAGAGAGAGAGAGAGAGCGAGCGAGCGCGCGCGCGAGAGAGAGAGCGAGCCTAACCATTCAACTCATTGTCATTTTGTTGCATTGATGCCAAGAATATTAGTTTGTGATATAGGTTGCTGATTTATTTTTCATATGAGAATGGAGGTTTCCAGAGTTCTAAAAATAGATTATTTTGGTCAGGATGTTTTGCATCTTATTTCTGTTCAGAATAAAACCCACAATATATTTATGAAATCAAATAGATGAAAGAATTGATATTTAATACTCGAAGTTGACTTCAGTATTTGTTTTGTATGAGATAGAACTAATAAAATACTCATGACATATTAATCACTATTATCAGCAGTCATAATGGTTATAATAGAAAAAAAATCGATGACATACCAACTATAGTTGGAGAAACAAAGTGGAGTTAGAAAAAAAACCAGTGAATTTTTAATCCACTTTTATTAAAATGTCAAGACAACCTCTTTCAAAGTTTTAGTACTACACTTTCATAAATAGTGTCAGACATTAGGACAAACAGTCCCCCACACAGATTTGAAATTTGACCTTGTTATAGCTTTGTGCCATTAAGTTTTTTCTCCTACTAGGACATTGTACATAGTTGTTACATAACCACTTAGCTAAACAAGCGTAAAGTTCCCTCTACTATTTCGTTTTGCCTTGAAACTTATTTACTGCATTGGGATTTAAAAAGTTCAGAACAGCCTATGTATGTTTATGTCTTTGATGTTATGATGTATGAACCCTTCTGTGTAAGTCATCTCCAGTTCCCATTTGAGCAGAAATGCCTCTGTGTGGTTTATGCCCATGAAGGAGTATGAGTATGTGAGTATTGATGGGATTAACTATTTTAGGGAGAACACAGAGAATCAAAATGCCAAAATAACAACAAAAAATCTGACCTGTCACAAAATTATACTCATAGCTACAGAGAATGTTATTATTGCAAGGGGGTAGGGGCACAGTAACATGAAGATGAGTCTTAACATTTGAAAAAGTTAAATAAGCTAGCTTTTCAGAAAAATGACCTTGCAAATTATCTGTCTTTCCCAGGTGAGAGTGGAGGTGCTCAGAGTGCTGTCAGTCACTTAGGTTCCCAAGATGGGGGGATGATAACTATGCACAGTCCAAAGAGATCGGGGAAGATTCCTCTAAAACTCCACAATCATATGGTCCATCGAGTCTGGAAGGAATGCATCCTCAACAGAACGCAATCCAAGTATGTTTTTTTGCATTATGTCTGAATTGTGGTTTAGTAACCATCTCTTTGGTTACTATACAAAGAGGGTCAGTCATATTACACTGTTGTGTGACTAGCCTGAGGGGTCATTAGATAGGTATTTCTTTATTTTGAAAATAATATTATGGATAAAAATTAAAAAAAAGTTTTTATTGATTTCAGAGAGGAAGATAGAGGGAGAGAGAGATAGAAACATCAATGATGAGAGAGAATCGTTGATCAGCTGTCTTCTGCATGTCCCTATTTGGGGATCAAGTCCACAATCTGGGCATGTGTGCTGACCTGGAATAGAACCATGACCTCCTGGTTCATTGGTTGATCCTCAGTCACTGAGCCATGCTGGCCATAATAGGATAAAATTTAACATAAACATGTTAAAATACAGATGATGACTTGATTTGATTATTCAGGAAATTTTGAAGCTCCTGATACTAATTTATGAATGTTTCCTTTTTACAGTGAGAAATTACCTTCTTTGTCACATTTTCTATTTTATATTGACCTTATGTTTTAATTGACAATACATTTCTGAACTGAATTAATGACAGAGGGGTGTGTACCAGCTTCTGTGCTTCTGTTTGTCCATTTGGGGAAATTATATTCTTTTCTTTCCCCTATCCAACTTTCTTACCTTTCTTCTTTCTTTCCTCCCTTCTTTTCTGCCCTCCATTTCTCCCTCCTTTAACATATTTTTGGAAAAGAGGAAGAACTGATAATAAGAGATTACTATTGATTATTTTAATTGCATGAATAATAATGACAATAGTAGTCAATGTTTGTTTGTTTTTTACTTATCAGGACTTACGTAATCATTCAGCTTATTTTCATATCTATTTTAATATGATTGAGATGTCCACTTTATTAACAGATACAAGTAAATAAATGAACCTTGATTCTCTGGAATAGAATAAATATGGACATTCTTGCCAAAACTAAGTCCTCCATTCATTTAGAAGTCAGTTAGTGACTACTATGTTTTTTAGTGACTACTATGCAGTCTTTATAGACAGATGTAAAACTTGTCCTTTGGACCTAGCTTTTAGCTAATTCGATACTATATATTTATTTCTCAATGAATTGGTTCTAGAATAGAGTGCTGAAGAAGATGTAGTAAATAAACTAAAATAATTGCCATGAAAAATCATGTCACATCCTAGAATTAAAAAGTTATCTCTAGTCATTTAAAAATGATCCTTTCCTGTAGAACAATAATTTCCCTTTTATCTGCGATACCTAGACCATTTCCAAGTTAACATTTTCTTTTCCTTTCATTTACCTTTTTTTCTTTTCTTTTTTATTACCTTTTATCTCCACCAACTCTAACAGTCAGTGTCCCCTCTATCAGTAGCATAGAACAAGGTAACAAGACACCAGAAAGGCAGGAGAGGGTGGAGAGCACGATAATTCCTTGCAGAGCATTATCAAAACACTTTGCAGTGTCAGCTGTAGCAAAATCAGCGATAAAAAATTTGGCTTAGTCTTATTTTCACTATGTAATAATTAGCATCTCCTTTTCTTACCAATTGTCAGTGATGTGTAGGAAATATTTGTCTTTAGTTTACATTCCAAGTATGGAATGCTTCCCTTAATTGCTAGCAAATACAGGAGTTATAAAGGCGATTTCAGCAGCCTGTGTGAGTGCATATAATTCACAGATGCTGTGAAAAGATAATTTTTTAAAATTTAGGGTATTTCTGCACAATTTAGGCGACTTTTTAAAAAGTAACAATGAATAGTGCCAAATATTGTTTTAATTGCTATGTGTACTGTCCATTTTAAATGTGTTTTAAGCTTAAATATGTTTTGAATCCTGATTCTTCTGATGCAAAGAACAAATAGCAGTCCACCTCCCCACCTTAGATTGCTCTGAACTATTATTTGCAGGATACCATTAGTATGTAAAATGTATAAATATTTTTTAACATTTTTTTCTCCAGAGATTATGCTTACACAGCTCACATTTTTAATCTTTTTTAGGAGGAGCCAAGTGTCAACTCCAACTCTTGAAGAAGAGCCTGCTAACAATCCTGCTACTTGGGATTTTGTGGATCCAACCCAAAGAGTCAGCTGTTTTTGCTCTAGGTGGGTGGAGAAAAGGCAGAGCAGTTCTCTGACCTGTCCTCTCAGACCCCTTCTTCCCCATAGTTTTGTTAAATTTTCCTCTTCTAGTAAGAAAGAAAAGGATAGGTCTTTTCTTATAGGCAGATGATCTAGTTTTATTGTCAGGTCTCAAAAATAGTTTTTTTAGACAACTGGCCCTGATACTTAATTGCTCCCATGAATTTTTTAGGGCAGCTATGTCAAAACTAAAGGCATTTGTTTGACAAGACAATCTCTTGCCCTTTAAATGAATTTACTTAACTACTCTAATTTTAAAGTAGAGATAAGTAGTAAGCAAGTTGTCTTGAGTTAATAGAATTTGGGTTAAATATACATTCCATAGATAATTTGTTTTGTTGTGGGTGCTGACTTTTTTGATGCCTGAGGCAGGTATTTGTAATAAAACCCGCCCAAGGTGTTGCTCATTCATTAAGATATTAGAATAGGAACCCAAATTGTTTTTCCGTAGAAAGATTTTGCACTCCTCTTGGATATTTCCGTGACTTATCACTTTTTGTGGTGATAAAGAATCATATTGTCATGAGTTTTTATTAGGGTTCTTGATTAAATGTATATCTGCCTTAACTCTCCCTACCCCACCCCAGCTCACTGACTGTTAGAACCCGTGCTGTTGATTATTCACTTAATGAGTAGCTTAGAGTGGCTTTGCTTCCAAAGTATATATTCACATTTGATATTGCTCCATACTTATAGAAAGTTTAGAAGAGATAAGTATATTTAGAACATGGTCATTCATTTCTGTATTTTAAATGGGGTTCTTATTGTGGCATAAATTGAACTGGCTTATTGGCTTTAGGAGGAAAGTGTGTGTGTGTGTGTGTGTGTGTGTGTGTGTGTGTGTGTGTGTACACTTACACAATAATTTTGGTACCTGCCTGATTCCCCTTAAGTTGATCCCCTTTTTATCAAGCTCTGCCTTGGTAGTCAGCTTTCTGTTGAGAGATACTCTAAAATTAGTCTAATGAAAACCATGATTGATTTTTCAAGGAGGAAGTTTTTTAAAAAGTTATTGGCTCATCAAGGGATCTCTCTCTGAGCAAGGTGTGGTATACCAGTTGAATACTTTTGTCTCTAGACCATTGTAAATTGGGTGACATAAAGTATTTTCCTAATATTGATTTTTAAATAGCTCATAGCCCAGGTTTAATTCACCTTTAGAAAGCATTTAGGCTGTAAATTTTAGTATATTTAATTTTATTAGTTCCTTCATCTTTTTTTTTTTTTTTTTTTGCTATTTTTCTTATGTTACATTTCTTTCACTATAAAAAAGAACCCTTTTACTGAATTATATCATATTTTTATTTACTACCTTGAATTATTTTTATCTGAAGTTCAAATAAGCAAATAACACTTTTGTCCTCTGAAGTTACTGTTCTATTTTCTCACAAAAACTTCAAATACCTCAGGTCTTTCTTATAGTTATGGATTGCAGCCCATTGATTTCCAAATATTTATTTACAGACCTGGCTTCTCATGTGTACTTTAGTCTTTATTATTTTTGGGTGCCATTTATATTTCTTATATTGGCATGTCTGTTTCCTCCCAAATCAGGTACCCTATTGTGGTCATTTTTATGACAATTTTCCCTTTTCAGTATAGAAACTTCATCATTTATTTATTTTTCTTTATTTTCAAGATCAGTTTTATCATTGCATTTTATGACTTTCTTTGAAATGTGTATTGTAATGTCATTCTACTTTCCTCATTCTTTTAGCCTCCATGTGTTTCAGCACTGTTTGGCCCTGCCTCTGGTTCCTTCCCACCACTGGACCACCCATATAGTTAGCCTTATGAGGCTGATCTTCCTGTTGCCTGCTTCAGTGAGGTCCCTTTCTGTTCAGAAATTTGCAATACTTGTCTGTTACTTACTGGCATATTCCTAATTCTAACCATTTTACAATGTAACTGAGTCATTAAATATAATTGAAAAAATATGACTTTATATGATTATCCACTTTGCAGAAAGCCCTTACTTTGAAGAGGCTACTATAAAATATCTATCAAAGGACTGATGTGGTTAAATGCTCTTTGAGAAAATCCAAATCAAGAAGTTTTATGTAAAAGACTTTTGGTTTTAAAATAAGCACCCTTAGAAGATATCATTGAGCTATTCTCAGATGAGTCATTCATCTCTTACTGTAGTACTGTGCCCTCGGGACTCAAAGCACAGTTTTTGCCTCATTGACAATAGCTTTATGGTTAGACAACCTTCTTTAAAGTCAGGATTTTTGTTTTTTTTAGAGGAGCAAAGACTTTTCAGATTATCAACTGCAGGATTACCAGACCCATTATGGGATGCCCTACTCCTCACTCTATTTAATGGCCTTTTGGGGCAGGGTGGCCATCCTGCTGTCCCACTAAACCATCCCATTATGCCACACAAATCCGTTTTACTGCCCACTAGGGCATCATTGAGTGCAATGCAGCAGTAATTTAATGCCACCCTAGTGGCCTCAGAGAGTTACTGGAGAGCTTACATTTCTCCCTGGGAGGGATTTATATATTGGGAGGAACTGGACAACCTGCAATATAACTTGGTTGCACAGATTAAACCTTGGCATCATCTAGGGTTCTTCCTGAGCAGTTTCTCACAGCCACCTTGCTGGGAGGAATGTGCACAGACTTGCTGTTCCTGCCTTGATTCTTCATGTGCACTTGGATATGTGTTCACTCACAACAACCCTTTTACTTCTGTCTCATTTTAACCCTATGTAAGATCCAAAGTTATCTTTTCCCCTTCTTTCTTAGATAATAGAGTCATATAAAGTTTTAGGTATGTTTAAGGTATAAGGTATTAGAATTCACCCTTATTGTCTTAGTTTCACATTTTGGGAGAGAGTAACATGGTTATTTTAGTCCTGATTTATAACACTACAAGTCATTATAAACCATTCTGTATTGGAGTTAGTAAAGTGCTGTGAAATATAAATTAAAAATTTTCTTTTGGCTGATCTCAAAACTTTTGACTTTTAAAATGGAGTATGAATAGAGACTCTCACCCAGTTGGAAAGATTTGGAGATTTTTTCAAATCAGTAATTTTGTAGGGGTTAGGAATGTATGAATTTATGTTTCATAATCCCATCTCTTCTTAACTTGTATGTGGTTGATTTATTGCTTTTTATCAGGGTGTTTGCAGTTTTTTAGTCATTAAAAATACAATTAACACTTAGTCTTTTTTGGTGTATTAGTGCATCTGCTGAGTACTTAACAAGACATAACCTCATCAGAGGCATCTCTTTTGTAATGTTATAATGATGCAGTCATTCTCATCTGTGTATTTGTTGACATTGTTTTAATTCTCATTTCAGGCATAAACTTTTAAAACGTGCCGTAGGAACCAACCGACCTCCCACAATATCTCAACCAGGGTTCAATGCAGGACCATCATCATCTTCATCTTTACCACCTCCTGCTTCTTCTAAGCACAAAACTACAGAAAGACAGGAAAAGGGAGACAAGTTGCAAAAAAGACCCTTGATACCATTTCACCATAGGCCCTCTGTGGCCGAAGAGTTATGCATGGAACAGGATACACCAGGGCAGAAGCTAGGGTTGGCAGGGATAGACTCCTCCTTAGAGGTGTCCAGCAGTAGGAAGTATGATAAGCAAATGGCCGTGCCTTCCAGAAACACAAGCAAGCAAATGAATCTGAATCCTATGGATTCACCTCATTCCCCTATTTCCCCTCTGCCGCCAACACTCAGCCCTCAGCCACGAGGTCAGGAAACGGAGACTCTGGACCCACCATCTGTCCCTGTGAATCCAGCCCTCTATGGAAATGGGATGGAACTCCAGCAGTTGTCTACTCTGGATGACAGAACTGTCCTCGTAGGCCAAAGACTGCCTCTGATGGCAGAGGTCAGCGAGACAGCCTTATATTGTGGGATTAGGCACTCGAACCCGGAGTCATCAGATAAGTGGTGGCATAGTTTTTGTCTCCCACCCATTGATGATGTTGAGTTCCGGCCTCCAGAACTTCAGGGTGAGAGGTGTGATGCCAAAATGGAGGTAAACTCAGAGAGCACTGCATTGCAAAGGTAAGACGACTCTCCAAACTATCTACCTGATCACCCCCTAAATAAGGGCAAAGGCCATAGAACCCTGAATCAGGCTTTCCTGCTCACCTCCCTGCAAACTTTCAGATCCCAAATGAGAGGCTTTGCTTCATCATTTTAGACTCTGCATTTGAAAAATGTTTAAAAGTCAAATGCTTTGTCATTTGTGAGGTTTAACACACATGTCACTATGTAAACATGCTGTCATATAAAGGTCTCGTGGCATTTAATGTACTAGCATTACTTTGTTTTGATCCTGTTACTAATCAAAGAATATAGCTTTATGAGACTTATGTTACTATGGTCAGTACTTTCTTGTTTCTTGATACTTTATAAAAAAAAAATTAGAGGTTTGATACACGGAATTCTTACACGGGGAAAAAGGGTTTCCCTCGGCTCAGCCTGCACCCTCTCCAATCTGGGACCCCTCATGGGATGTCCAACTGCTGATCCCAGGGATTGGGCCTACCCCGGCAGTTGGACATCCCTCTCACAATCCTGGACTGCTGGCTCCTAATTGCTTGCCTACCTACCTGGTCGCGCCCAACTGCCCCCTGCTGGCCTAGTCGCCTCTTACTCTCCCCCCTGCCAGCCTGGTCGCCCCATGTAGTCTTTTTGTTCAGTCATCTGGTGGTCCCTCATGCCAGTCTGAATGTAGGCAGCCATCTTATGAGGGCATGAGGGTCAATTTGCATATTACATCTTTATTATATAGGATCCTCACTCAAGGGTATTTTGTTTGTGTTTAAAATATACATTTTACTGATTTCAGAGAGGAAGAGAGAGAAACATCAATGATGAGAGGATCATTGATCAGCTGCCTCCTGCGTGCCCCCTACCTGGGGATCGAGCCCACAACCTGGGTATGTGCCCTTGACCAGAATTGAACATAGAACCCTTCAGTCTGCGGGCTGACACTCTATCCACTGAACCAAAATGTGTAGGACAACATATGCTTTTATTGATTTTTTGAGAGAGAGAAAAACATCGATGTGAGAAAGAAACTTTGACCAGTTGCCTCTCATATACATCCCAACCACAGCCTGGGTATGTATTCTTACCGGGAAAGGAACCTGCCACCATTTGGTGTACAGGACAACACTCTAACCAACTGAGCCACCTGGCCAGGGCTCTTGACACTTTTAAGAAACGATTTGTATATATTAGTAATGTATTGTGTATCTAGTAATGATGCTTAACATTTCTAGTGTTTTTGAGCTACCCTTGATTCTTAACAGTTTACACAGATTATCTCACTTAATCTTCATGTTACTACCTTAACTTCATAGATGAGAAAGAAACTAGGGTCATGCAGTTAGTAAATGACACACTTGAAATTTGAACCTAGATAGTCTGTCTTGAGCCCATCTGTGCTCTTAAGTGGAGTCCATGGAATCAGAGACAAAAATATATATTCCTCACAAAGGCTAAGTTTTATTTAATTGTGAATGTAGTCACTAAAAGAAATTCACTATGTAGATGAATTAATTTTAATTTCAGTGTAAGCTTTACAAATGCTTTAAATAATTAGTGCTTTTCTTTTAAAAACATCATTCTTTTTATTTTATCTTGCTAACGTGTCATTTATTTTCCCCTTTTAGACTCTTAGCACAACCTAATAAACGGTTTAAAATCTGGCACGACAAGCAGCCCCAGATGCAGCCACTCCACTTCCTTGACCCATTGCCTCTTTCACAACAACCTGGAGACAGTTTGGGAGAAGTCAATGACCCATATACCTTTGAGGACGGTGACATAAAATACATCTTTACAGCAAACAAGAAATGCAAACAAGGGACGGAAAAAGATTCCCTGAAAAAGAATAAGGTACCATTTAACGTGGAGAGAGTTCCATGTGGTGTGGGTTTGATCTTTGTCAGCACAGCATGTGTGGGAGAACTTTTGAGGCAGAATGTTTGAGATAGTCTTGCCTGATTGCTCTGTCCCCATACTCATGCTCTTGGTACTATCGTATTGAACAGCGTATTGTTCCCTTTTATGTCATGGCTCACCTTTGTTGAAAAGTCAGCCGAACATAAATGAAGCCTCATTTATATTTTCCAGGCTATAGCTTGTACAGCGCATGTTTCCTCTCATATGCTAATTCTTGTTGGCCTATGCTCCTTGTTTATTTCTTTTAATTATGATTCCAAAATACCCAAAATGTAAAGAAAAAAAGTTGATAACAATCCTATTGTTTATTATGCGCTTACTGTGATTACTGTGCCAAGCGCTTTACCTATATCTCTTCTGAATTAATATTAACATCACTCTTGGATTGTGTCAGTATTGATTATACTGTTTCATTGTCATGAAAATGAGTACTGGGTGTATCAGCTGTCTTTAGCCTTAAATGTTAAAACATTGTAAAATACTAGACCATTTAAAGAGGTATTCTTGAGCATGGAGGAAGTAAGACAATTAAAGGAGGCCACTATAATTCAGGGGACTACTTGTACATTCCTTCCAGAGACATATCCATATCTAGAAAGCTTGAACCATAATTTAGCATCCAAAATTTATTAAAGGCAGCTTGTAACACCATGGCAGGTCTGTAATCAAATGCCACCAGTACCATTTAGGCATAAAACCCTGATTGACTCAGAATACTCCATAGGATTGAGAGGGAAGTGTGAGAGTTTGGGTTCTGTTTAAATTCAAGGGAAAGGCATATCTTTTATTTCTTTTGGTTGCATAGACCATGGTTTATCATACTTGTGCTCATAACAAGTTCCATTCTACCCTCTAATTCTTTGTGTTCTCCCTCATATTCCACACTTTGGGTTGGTGTTCATGTGTTTTGTTTGGCTGAATTTATTATACAGTCAGAGGATGGATTTGGTACCAAGGATGTCACTACACCAGGTCATTCCACGCCGGTGCCTGATGGGAAAAATGCCATGTCTATTTTCAGTTCTGCTACTAAAACAGGTGTGTACAATGATTATTTGCCTCACTTGGATTGTTGCTAAAATAAAATGCGAGGGAGATGCTTCTCAATTTCAAATTATATTCTTACAGTAATAGCAATAATTTGATCTCATCTTTAATATATTTTTTATAGTTTGTTTTTCAGTTCCTTTCAAAACTGATAAACATATTAGGAAATAATTGTCTCTAAATTTAACTGAACACAGGGAAACGTTCACAGGCAGGTGTTGCTCATTGAGATCCATGTCCTCTCCTCATTTTTTCTTCCTTAATGAAGATGCTCATTCTGTTTATTTTGTCTCCTTTCCCATAGATGTCCGGCAAGATAATGCTGCTGGCAGAGCTGGCCCCAGTAGCCTTACGCAGGTGACAGATTTGGCACCTTCCCTGCATGACTTAGACAACATCTTTGATAATTCTGATGATGACGAACTTGGGGTGAGTCTGACATAGCTACACAAACAAAAATTTCCCTAAATGGAAGGATTTATGCGGGTGTCTCAGTATTTCTTTATAATTAGCTTGCTGAACTTGGAGGTTTTTAGTCCAGGTTCTTGAATGTTCTTAAAAAATACTTGTGTACTTTGAAAGGATTCGAAAAGTTAATACTCTGTAACATTCCTTGGGTTTTGCTTGTTGATGTCTTTTTTTTTTTTTTTTTTTCATTAATGTTATTCCTGGTGTAAATACTAAAATATATTACATTTGTTTTTTTAAAATCCTTTTAGATATCTTAAGACTAATAAAAAAGTATTATGTAGTTCCTTTAGCTCTACATTTTGATACATAAGAATAGTCTATACCTTTTAAGATGATGGTATCATAGTAGGGAAGTAGAATTTATGCACATGGAAGTTAAATAATACCAGACATTATGTGATTAAAGTGACAGATAAGAATTACAATTTTTTGGAGAATAGCTGACCTGAGTCGGGAAGTTTGTGTCCTTGTCCTCCAAACCAGCTCTGTGTGTTTGGGCAAATAGAAATGCTGTTATTTCTGGGGTGCCTAGAGATCAGTAAGGTAGGCTTGCTCTTCAGGAAATCAGTTTATTATTCTTCCATTCATGTATTTATCTTTCTTCCCATCCATATATTTTATATATTTGTTAATCATTTGAAGATTAGTTCCCTGTGTCAGCAACTCTAAGTTACAAATATTATTAACTTACCATGCGTATACTTGACATACCCACAGACTTTAGGAGAAATAGTATATAAATAAAATTTATACTTATTGCTATGAGAGGAGTAATTAACCCGAATCTAAAGATGCTGGACATTCAAGTACAAAGTGACAAGCAAGCAGTATTTAACAGAAGGATTAAAGATTAAGTAGGAATCATATTTCTAAAACCCTTTCTCACTTTAAAATAAAATGTATCTGATTAACAGGTATTATACACCATCCACACATTTAAAAGCCTAAGCGACTATAAGGGTGGAAAGACCAGAATGATTGGTCACTGTGACACACACTGAGCAGACAGGCAGGCGAGCGGTTAGGGGTGAGCAGTCCTGGATTGCAAGAGAGATGTCCAACTGCAGGGATTGGGCCTAAACTGGCAGGCAGACATTCTCAGAGGGGTCCTTGAATTGCAAGAGGGTGCAAGCTGGGCTGAGAAACTCTTCCCCACCCCTTCCTTTGCACGAATTTTGTGCACCAAGGCCTCTAGTTAGTATTATAAGTACTTTGAAGATTATCTATATATTGGAGGGCTGGAGCATAAAAATTCATGCACTGGAGGGGCCCTTAGCCTCTCTTGCCCACTCTCATAGTCCAGGAGCCCTCAAGGGCAAGAGGCAACACCCCCATCCCAGCTTTGCTGCTGCCACTGACAGCAGTGCAAGCTTCGGACAGCCCTGGTTACCTGAGCCTTGGGCAGCCACCATCCAAGGCTTGCTTGCACCTTGGGCCAGCTTTGAGCAACTGGGTGGGGGGCAGGGGAGGTTGAGGGAACAGGGGGATTCCAGAAACAGGCATGCAGAGAGTCAGGACCACCTGGAGGTGGGCCTGGCAGTGCCACACACCCGCTGCCTTGGCAGGGCTGAGAGGACTGGGTGCTGTCATCTTGTGACTGTGGGCACCACCATCTTTGTGATGGCATGATGGTCAATTAGCATATTCCCTCTTCAGCATGCGCATATATATATATATATATATATATATATATATATATATATATATATGAAAACAGCACCCAGAACACGGTAACAACCAGTCGCTATGATACCCACTGTGGCTGGCCAACTGGCCTGATCAGGGGTGGGGCCAGCTGGCCATCCTCCCTCAGCCCCTCCCCTCAGCTGGCCCTGATCGGTCCCTCCCACCTGCCCTTGATTGGACTCTCACACCCCTATTGGTCTGCAGCTCCTCTCCCTGGCCGGTCTTGTCCCTTATCTCCCCCAACTTTCTATGGCCTCTCCCACTGGCCAGCCCACCTTCAACTGGCCCCTCCCACCCTGATCGGCCCACATATTCTCCCCCCAACTGGCCCTACCCTGATCAGCCTCCCAACCCCAATCAGGGAGTAGAGCCAGCCAGCTAACCTCCTGAATTCCCTTCCTCTTGCCGGCACAGCCCCAATCAACCCCATCAGGGCATGTTGGCTGGACCCCACTTGTGCACAAATTCATGCACCAGGTGTCTAGTGAGATTATAATGCCCTTGAAGGACTGATACGACTTGAAATGTGAAAAGATTGGGCTAGTAGGAGGTGGGGGAGGATTACTAGGCACATTACTGGAATGCACCTTGGTTACACAACAGGAATGAATTGGCTGGGCTTTGGGGAATAATGAACAGGCCATTCCATTGGTCTGTTTTCTGAATGGGATAAAGATCGATGGAGCTAGGAAGGATTTGGCCATGCTTAGTGCTGTGGACTTTGAACTCTACCAGTAATATGTTCCTCTGAAGGCTGCTGAGCGTGGAACTGACCAGTAGCAGTGAGTGCTGGTTTTCATCAACACATGAGAATCAGAATTCAAGCCATGGGTGCATGATGGGAAAAGGACATGGCAAAGTGGCACACTTTGGTAGAAGAAATAACTCATTTTCTTAGTGTTGATCCAGGCAGGGGAGATCCTTTTTTAACTTGATGTTCTCTCTAAAGCCAAGAATTGCCTACAATGGTTTTAATGATCCTGAGGGTTAGGTTAGCTATTTTGCTGGTGATGGTGGGAATGAAGAATGAAAATAAAAGGAATTAAAAAAAAAAAAAAAGTAGAAAGGAAGAAGGAAAGAAAAAAAAGGCAAGCATTGTGAAATAGCCCAGCACTGTTTGCAGCCACTTTCCCTAGTGATTGTGAGCCATTTGCTTATTTTCTGTATCAGGAATGCCTGTTGAACTAAGTGAAGTAATGTTCACTTTGCTTCTTAAATATATTCTTAGTAATGTCACTATACAAACGAGAGCTGACATTTTTAATATCATTTTTATTTCTCTGATACGATTTTTTCTACTTTTAATTTCTACCCTGGCATTTAATAAAGTCATCAGTTTATCTTAGAATCATTTTGCTAATTCATTTTACTAGTATCTGGAATTGGGAGGCTGTTGTTTAAGTCTTCACCTCAAATGTCTTTGAATTTAATTTTATACTTCAACTCTCTGATATTGAAATATACACTGAGTGGCCAGATTATTATCTCTGAATGCAAAATAATCTGGCCACTCAGTGTATATCTTATATAATAAAAAGCTAATATGCAAATTGTCCTCTCAATCAGGAGTTTGACCAGTAGGCAGGCTGGCCAACCACCCATGTCCCCTCTCCCTGGTCAGGCTAGTCTGGACCCCACCCATGCACAAATTCATGCACCAGGCCTCTAATACACACACACACACACACACACACACACACACACACACACACACACACACTGAGTGGCCAGATTTTTATGCATTCAAAGATCATAATAATCTGGCCACTCAGTGTTTACATTTAGAAGCCCGATGCACAAAGGTTTGTGCAAGAATGGACCTTCCTTCCCCTGGCTGCCAGTGCTGCCTTCACTCTGGCCGGAGCCACCGTTCTGCCGTCCTACGCTGCCCAGAGGCCCGGAGTGGCTGGGGTGATGTGAAACGCCTGTGTCATCACCATGGCAATGACGCAAGCATCCTGCCTTGTTCCTGGCTGCTTGGCTCCTACCTATGCAAATTAACCTGACATCTCTATTGTGTTAATTTGCATACCCATTTTTGATTGGCTGTGGGTGTCTTGAAGGTATGATCAATTAGCATGTTACTCTTTTATTAGGTAGATTAGGTAGATATAGCCCTGATAGATTTGACTCAGTTGTTAAGAGGGTCAGCCTATGGACCAAAGGGTCTTGGGTTTGATTCCCAATCAAGGGCCTGTATCTCAGTTGTGGGTTCCAGGCCAGCCCTGGTCGGGGTATGTGCGGGAGGCAACCAATCCATGTGTATCTCTCACGTCAATGTTTCTCTCTCTCTCTCTCTCTCTCTCTCTCTCTCTCTCTCTCTCTCTCTCTCTCTCTCTCTCTTTCTCTCTCCCTCTCCCCCCTTCCTTCCACTTTGTCTGAAAATCAATGGAAAACAACATCCTCAGGTGAGGATTAAAAAAACACACCAAAAGAAATTGTGTGTGTGTGTTTTGAAAAATAAAAGAATAATAGTTGGTGGGGAGGGAATTGAGATAATCTCTTTTAGCTGCTTTCTTCGAAACAGAAGGAAAACCAGACTGATAGCCAATTACTACTTAGAGGCACCAGCCTAATGTAATTATTGTGTTCCTGAAACTATGTCTCTAATGACCTGGGAGGGAAGATTTGCTTAAGGTCTGCAGGCTCTGCTTTGATGGCACAATCTGCCCTCACCAGATCCATGAAAAGACTCCTCACTCCATTTCTCATACTTGATGAGCTTGAAGCCACCCCTTTGTTTCACCGTCTGCTGGTATTTCTAGTGGTGAACACTTAATAAAGAAGCATCTTTTCTGTTCTTAGGCTGCATCACCTGCACTTCGTTCATCAAAAATGCCAACGGTTGGGACTGAAGAGCGACCTCTTGGGAAGGATGGAAGAGCTGCTGTTCATTACGCACCAAGTAAGGAAAGATTGAGCTTTGGCTCACTGCTCACACCTTACATGTAATGTTGTCACACCCAGCCCTGCCTTAGTTGAGATCCCCCTCCTTTTTTTATTTCTGTTTAAAAAATACTAATTACGATTTAAACTTGTATAAGTTGGCATTCCTAAGATGGCAGGTAGCTAAGTGTCCATCTTACTACTAATTTGAGTTCCTTTGCTCTTTGTTTTCAAATTAAGAATTAACTTATATGGTTTATAATGTGGAAAAACATGTTCTAGGTTTGTTTTTCAAGTAGTCCTTTCCTAGTAGGATAAATGCTGCAGGGTGATTTTCAGAGCAATTCCCAACTGTAAACACTTGTGTAAAATGTTTCAATTTTCAGAAATTTAATTCACATGAGAATAAGGAATACTGTTTGTTTTCTGTGGTTCTTTTTCTGATTCATAGTGAAGTTTTGTGCTTCCTTTTGAGATCAACTAGCTTTATTATCTAAGCTGACTAGAAGAAAAGCTTCCTTTCTTCTAGTTCTTCTTTGCCCCGAGAAAACTCATTACTCTACAAGAGAAAAGAAAGTCAGGGTAGCTGTGTGGACACTGCAGCAGGAACACAATCCCATTGCAAATCATTCTGTAATACCTTCTCATTAACTTCAGCCGTAATGAGAACAAATTGAGGGGAAAAACCACCATGTCATAGGGATGAGTCAAAAAGTTTTATGAACCTATAAATGTAGAACTGATTTACTCAAATGTAGAAGTATGAAGTATACAGAGATTGGATTTTGACAGCTTTAATGGTTCGGTAGCTTTTTAAAATATGCAAAGCTTTTTAAAGCATGACATGTATAGAAGTGAATAATGATAGCCAGCCAGTTGCTGTAGTTTTTTTAATTAAACATTTTCTTTTTTTATTACTCTGCACTGCAGAATTTTACAAACATGGAACTCACAGATTAAAAGGACCAGTATTAAAGCAGATACATATGCAATAGGTCAAATGAGTGAATTTTCCCCCCTTGTGTTGAACTAGTTAATCCTCTGCCTTTTTGACATTAAGTGATACATAGTGATGTTACATGTTAACATGTCTAATAACTTGTCCAAGATTATTAAATCACAAACCATCCTGCTGGTTAGTGTCTTGCCCAGTTAATAAAGTATATGGTATACACTTTTCCTTCCCTTATTTCTGTTCAAAATGAGATTGTTTTAAAAGGAAGCTACTCAATCTTTTATGAAAAAGTACATTTACAAAAATTAATGAATTTGAAATGTAGCAAATATATTAGTATCAGGAAAATACAGGTATATGAGTCAACAAGATTGTTTTAATGTGTACGAAGTATGTGTGTGTGGACATACACACCATATTTCCTCCCAAGACATGACAATGAAAATGGTATGGCAAGAAGTTCTCATCTCTGCAGTAGCTTTATTATACACTAGAGGTCCCATGCATGAAATTCGTGCAAGGGTAGGCCCTTGCAGCCCCAGCTGCCTCGTGGCCCCTTGGCTCCACCCCCCACCCACTGGTTGTTCCAGAAGGTCATTCCATTATCTGGTCTAATTAGTATATTAGCTCTTTATTATATAGGAGATTGAGCTGAAAAGACAGACAGACATAACATTTAATGTCTTGAACAGCTTCATCCAATAGAAATGCAGAGTTGCCACAAATGAGATCCATATAAGTATAATAATTGTAAATTTTCTGGTAGTTACAGAAAAAAAAACCCAAACCACCGTGTGAAATTAATTTTAATAATATATATTAAATAATGGCAATATCTAAAAATTGTCATTTTTACAAGTAAAAAGATAATGAGCTATTTTCCTTTTATTTTTTTGTACTAACTCTTGGAACTTGGTTATATTCGACACATAAGCAATCTCGGTTTGGACAAGTCCCATTTTGAGTGCTCTGTGGCCGCATGTGGCTAGCAGGTCCTATGTTAGAAAGTATAGGTACATAATTATTCATTTGATTGTAATAATGCGGAAAGCAACACACAGTAACAACTAGGTCTAGTTTAATATATCAAGTTAAGTACCCGAGGCCTAGAAAGGGTAAATTATTTAGAATTATATAATTGTTTAACTAGGAAGCATGGTAAAGATGATTGAATCTAGAGGTTCTCACCTTTTTTTCTCCCTCCATATGGTGGAGGCTTTCCCCTCCCCCCATTCAGGAATGACAGAAAGCCTGGTGAGAGTCACACATTTAATCAAGCCTTCCTTTTTAGATGAAAGAGCATTGGTCCCAAGAAAGGAAGTGACCTGAGCATACCAGTGCTGTGCTGGGAGCACTTGGGTTGTGGAGCCCAGCCCACTACTACTTTAGACAGCTGTGCCTTAGACTCTAGCCCAGGGGACAGTATGGTACAGTTATGCTTTGTTATTTTCTTATTCAGAGCTAAAAGTCACATCTTAGTTTATTCATAGTAGCTACTATTTGCCCCATAAAATGTTGAGGTTGCTAGAAAGAGCAATGTGACTGGAAATTGGGATATCAGATGCCATTCCAAACCAATGTTGCTCCAGATCAGTAAATGAATTTGCTGTACAGGGCACACCCTAGTGGCCAGACTTTACAACCACAACTTTACAACCATAACTCCATTTATTCCTACTTTAAAAAGGCTTGTGGGGGAGAAGAAAGAAGAGGGTAATGGGGTTGGGGACATATGTAATACTTTCAACAATAAAGATTTGTTTTTAAAAAAATTAAGTTTCTACTTTTGTTTAGTTCTACTAATGCATATTAGAAACACATACTTGATTTTGATACATTATTTGTAAAACTTTTTAACTTTTAAGTTATTGCTTGTGATGATTGTATCAAAGTTAAATATGACTAATGCCAGAGAATAATGATAAATTTTAAATTCTGGTTGGTCTGCTCCTATGATTTTGTTTACTTAACTTCTTAAGTATCTTTTATTTAACTACTCTGTACTTGGAAAAAATAGTTTTTATAAAACTAATTTTTTTTTTTTTACAAACTTTTAGAAACCATCAGGAAAGACAGAAAATACTGTAAACTGAGAAGTAGTAATTACAACAAATAAATTGGAAATGTATAGTAAGAAAAAAAAGAAAGAAAGCAACAGTGCCTTAATGAGCCACTGTTGATGTTGGTTAATCTCAGGTATAATAAAATGATTTTTTAAATGATTGGTTCTAAGCATTTAAAAAAAATATATATTTATTGATTTTTTACAGAGAGGAAGGGAGAGAGATAGAGAGCTAGAAACGTTGATGAAAGAGAAACATCGACCAGCTGCCTCTTGCACACCCCCCACTGGGGATGTGCCCGCAACTCAGGTACATGCCCCTGATCAGAATTGAACCCGGGACCCTTCAGTCCGCAGACCAACACTCTACCACTGAGCCAAACCGGTTTCGGCGGTTCTAAGCATTTCTTGAAAGATAGTTTTTAAAAAGTTAATTCTCAATAAGTTGTCTTTTGGTTCTAGGTAGGTTTGTTAATCTTAACTAAAGTTTCATTTTATGTTAATTTGAAAAGAGAGTGTGGAATCCTTTTCTCAAAAGAGCAGTGAGTGTTGCAGATTTGTCAAAAACTAGCTAAGTAACCCTACTACATATAAATCATCATTATAGCTTAGGCAACTTTTCTTTAACATAAATGCTTGATGGATTTTTCTATGTAAAATTTGCTGCATAACAATGATAATTCTGAAATATATCATATATACTTAAAATAGCAATAGAACTTTTAATACAGTGATTACTCCATCTAATTGCTTCCAGCTTCTTAGGCTTCTCAAGGAATCAGTTGTTGGGGGGGAAATATTGTGGACTTCTGCCCCCTTAATTAATGTGAGGCCAAATCCTGAAGGATCAAGAGAATAGTGATGAAGTTCCAGGAAAGGATGACTTTCTGCTTATGGCCTTTTTCTCAGAGACTTCATTATTCATATTCTGTTGTGTAACTGATCTGGTTATGAACTTGGATTTGCCTTTTCAGTCCTGTCGGTTAAAAGAAACGATTTGTATCTTTGTGTTGTGTTTTTAGCAGTTGCAGACCTGCAAAGGATGTTCCCCACCCCCCCTTCTTTGGAGCAGCACCCTGCGTTTTCTCCTGTGATGAGCTATAAAGACGGGGTCAGCTCAGAGACAGTGACAGCATTAGGCATGATGGAGAGTCCTATGGTCAGTATGGTTTCAACACAACTCACCGAATTCAAGATGGAAGTGGAAGATGGCTTAGGAAGCCCCAAGCCAGAGGAAATAAAGGTAACTGCCAGTTCCCAAGCAGAGTGGTTTTCAAGTGGATTTGCTGCGTTGTCTTTAAAATAATACTGTCTTTATGCCAAATGTACATATGTTTCTAACAATCCTCTGAATTGGATCATGAGAAAATTACAGTGTCTTTTGGTTAATTTATAAAACTTTGGTATTAGCATTTCCTACTGATCAGACAAGAGAAGTTTTGAATTACAATAGTATTTTGTCACTACTGTGCTGTGTACTAAGTCATTTACCAACATTATCGCCGACCTCACTTTTTCGTTACAGGACTTTTCATATGTGCACAAAGTTTCAACTTTTCAACCTTTCGTGGGATCCTCCATGTTTGCTCCACTGAAGATGTTGCCGAGCCAATGCCTGCTACCTCTGAAGCTACCTGATTCCTGTCAGTTCCGGCCTTCGTGGGCAATCCCTCCTAAAATTGAACAACTGCCCATGCCCCCTGCAGCCACTTTTGTTAGAGATGGCTACAAGTATGTGCCATATTTCATGTGACTTTTATCTCAACTAAATATTTATTTGAAATGATGACAGTAGAATATGATTTGAAGCTTTTATTGGCCATTCATGTTTTGGGGCGCATTATTTTGTGTTGAAAATGTACATTATTTTCTAAGCCAAATTTTATGTACATGGAAAAATTTAGGTTACTTGTATAGAGCAGTGATTCCCAACGTGTGGGGCACATGCCCCACAGGGAGGAAATTTGATTTTTAAAGGAGTAATTCGAGAATGGGTTATTAACAGTGAATTTTTCGCATTTCTTAGGGTTCTAGGGGCCTCATGAACAGTATATAAATATATGTATTGTGACATATTTATGCATTTCACTTCTCTATTATGTTTTGAAACTTTATTTGCTATTTTTAATATCATTTCAGATTATTTTTTTTTTTTTTACAATTTTTTAGTTATTTCTTCCTCAGTACTTCAGCTATCTTTTCATCTTTTCTTTTCTTTTTTCATGGATGCCATGTTCTTTGGAAGCTTTTTTAGACCAAGTTAATTTAAAAGTTAATTTAAATTTAGCACATGGGGCTAGTGCCTACCTTATTGGAAAACTCAATTCTGAGCTTTGCGAAATTCTGCTGTGGTCTCCATCACTCTGGACCTCCTCCATTACCACCCTCTCTCTCTACACACACACACACACACACACACACCCCACACTCAGCACACAGCACTTATTTGCATGATGCCTGTCACACTTGCTGAGAGCTAGCTTTTCTTTCCTTTTTCATTGTGGAATATCTAGTATTTAGCATAGGGTTGGTACTCAGTTCATTTTTATTGACTGGAAGAAATCAGGTTACTATGCAGGAGAATACATTCTTACTACCTAGGGAGAAATTTAATTATTTAGGTTTCAGTTAGTAGTCATAGCTTTTTTTTTTTTTTTCCCTGATCTGAACTGCATAGTAATTTTAGGGTTTAGTTGAACTAGAAAAATTTGAAAGGAGTCCAATTACACTAAAAATCATTATTATACACATTATTTTGGTTCTGAGATAGCAATGATTGCTAATTAAGGTTTCTGGGTCATTTTTAAAAAATCTGTATTCAAAGATATCAATGTGCCTCTAATTTAAAATATCTTTACAGTGCCTGATTTAGATTTGCAGGCTGGTCGTTTAGGCATAGCTAATTAAAAATCACAAGAAAATTATTTGAAGAGCCATTACTTTGTGATATTTTTCTTTCAAATTATAAGTGAATGAATATGTAGTTTATTGGAGGAACATTAATTTAAGTACATTATTAATAGATTTGAAAAGAATACTAAGCACTAAAAAAAAAATCTGTGTTCTTTTCTAATTGGAAAGAATGGCCTCATATGCTGATTTACATATATCTATAAGAATGTTCATCAAGAAAATTTTCTGCAATAATAAAACAGTAGAACATTGCAGATATTTTGTTTTCTATGTGGCTATTGGAAAAAGAAGTCACAGCTTATGAGAAAATAGTACAATGCATTCAAGTCTCTGGGAACTAAAAAATAATTGTGCTATAGGTAATGCATAGCATTTTGAAATTAATAAGTGAATTAGAATCACCTTCCATCCCACAGAAATCTTACAAGTTTGGGAATTATAATACAATATGTGTACTTCTGTGCAGTCACCTAATTAATACTAAGGCCTCTTAGCAGTATATGTAATATTTTTATTAACTGTAGTGTAGTTCCAGCCAATGGGTTTCCTAAAATAGAATTCCCTCATGGTCACACATTACTAATAAAATGCAAGCCTAGATAGGGCTGCATTTTGAAAGTTAGGAAAATATTAAATTTTCTTGTGCATTTGATTATAACTACTTTAGAATCATATATAGATTATAGCCTCAGAGAACAAGTATGTTGGCAGATTTTCAATTTCAAAAAATGACAAAAATGTAATTGCAAATTAGATGGAAATTCCATCCTATGGTTTTCTAGCTAATTTAGTACTTGAACTCATGTTCAAGTTCCATTTAGTAGTTACAGTTTTTCAGAATTACATTGACCAAATCCAGCATTGTGTTTTCTGTAAAAATACTAAGTTTCCTCAAAAGATTTAGATGAGGATTGCTTTAATATGGAATGAGTAGAAGGAAAGTGCCGTATTGATTTTTTTTTCTTCATTCCTCATTTTTTGCTTTCCCACATACTGCACTGACTCCTTTGAATCCTTTTTTTTTTTTTTAAAGAGAAAGTTGAATACACCATAAGATAAACACATAAATGATAAAAATGCACAGGTCAGGTCAGGGTGATAGCGTGCATTCCAGCTTCTGTGCTCTGCCTTGGTTCTCACTTGGTGCTGTGTGTGTATTGCAGCAATGTGCCTAGTGTCGGGAGCCTAGCAGACCCAGACTATCTGAACACACCCCAGATGAACACACCAGTGACGCTGAACAGTGCTGCCCCAGCCAGCAACAGTGGAGCAGGAGTTCTGCCATCGCCAGCAACCCCTCGCTTCTCTGTCCCCACGCCACGAACCCCCAGGACCCCAAGAACTCCCAGAGGTGGGGGTACTGCCAGTGGTCAAGGGTCTGTTAAATATGACAGCACCGATCAGGGGTCACCAGCCTCTACCCCCTCTACCACGCGGCCCCTTAACTCTGTGGAGCCTGCCACCATGCAACCAATTCCAGAAGCCCACAGTCTCTATGTCACCCTGATTCTCTCTGATTCTGTGATGAACATCTTTAAAGACAGAAACTTTGACAGCTGCTGCATCTGTGCCTGCAACATGAACATCAAAGGGGCAGATGTCGGGCTTTACATCCCCGATTCTTCCAACGAGGACCAGTACCGCTGTACCTGTGGGTTCAGTGCGATCATGAATCGCAAACTTGGTTACAATTCGGGACTCTTCCTGGAAGATGAGTTGGATATTTTTGGGAAGAATTCTGATATCGGTCAGGCTGCTGAGAGGCGCTTAATGATGTGTCAGACCACCTTCCTTCCTCAGATGGAGGCAGCCAGAAAACCCCAGGAGCCACCTATAAGCCTCCTCCTCCTCCTCCAGAATCAACACACACAACCTTTTGCTTCACTGAGTTTCCTGGACTACATTTCCTCTCACAATCGCCAAACTCTTCCCTGCGTAAGCTGGAGTTATGACCGGGTGCAAGCAGACAATAACGATTACTGGACGGAATGCTTTAACGCCTTGGAGCAGGGGCGGCAGTATGTGGATAATCCCACCGGGGGGAAAGTGGACGAAGCGCTGGTGAGAAGTGCCACTGTGCACTCTTGGCCTCATAGCAACGGTAGGTGTCCCAGAATAGTGATGCCCTTTGGAAATGAGCTTGGCATGATGGTGGCTTACACGGTTACTTTACCTTTTCTCTGACAAAATTTTGAATTTCATTTCTTAAAAAAAAGATAGCTAAAGTGAGCGCTATGTTGATATCATCCTAAATTTAAGGACTAAGGGAATGCTTTATATTGAAACACCTTTGGAGAGGAATACTTGCTTTGAGGAAATTTCCTCTATTAATTCACAGAGGCATTTCATATTGGAAGCCTGTGACTGCTGAGTATCAAAGTCATCAAGAATATAATTTGCACAGCCTTTCATGTTTAAACCCACTCACTCTTCTAGGTCAAGTTTTCATGCTACTTCTTCCATATAGTCTTCTGCCCAATTACAGGTCATTTTCTTCTTCCTCTGTCTTCTCAGTATTTTCTCTCTTGTAACAGTGATCACATTTTACTTTGTCCTGTGGTTACTGGTCATGTCAGTGGCTCTTCTATTAAAGCTACAGTTGACAAACATTATTTGAATTGACAAACATTATTTGAATTGAGCTTTAAGAGTGTCAAGCAACTTGCTTTCTCCTTCCCTTATGCATTCATTATCAAATAACCTGGTGCATACTGGGGAATAAAACGTTGACTGAAAGAGATAAGGTACCTGCCCTCGGAAGTTTCTAATCTATTTTGGATAATGTACATTAACGAAATAATATTATCACCAAACATTACAAGTGATGAAAGCATGGAGGGGGAGAGGAACTCTGGGCTGGAGGAAGACTTCTTTGAAGAAGTAGTAACACTTGAGATCTCAACCATGAGTATAAATTAACTGGGCAAAGAGGATAGGAAGCAAGGAATTGTGTCCCAGCAGGAGTGGCGAATGTGAAGGCCCAGAGTTTTATAGAGCGTGGGCCTTTATAGAGCTGAACAGAGGCCAGCAGGGGCTAGATGACTATGAGCCTTTAGAAATATGCTAGGGGTTGGGTCTTCATTCATAGAATCCTAACAAGTTACTAATTGGTTTTATGAAGCAATATTGACATCAGATTTGTGTTTGTGTGTGTGTGAGAGAGAGAGAGAGAGAGAGAGAGAGAGAAAGAGAGAGAGAGAGAGAGAGAAAATGTACTCTGACCCTAATGTGGGCTGTGGTTTAGAAAATGGCAGAATGGATTTGGGGAAACTAGGAGAGGAATGTAGTAGACCAGAAAAGAAACAATGGCTTGATTAGCATTCTAGCAAAGAAAACACAAAAGAAGTGGAAGCATTAAAAAGATGTTTAGGAAGTAGTACTGCAGGACTTGGTACTAGGTTGAATTTGGGGGTTCAGAGAGAGCAAAATCTTAAAGATGATACCCAGGTCTGTGACTTGTATACCTGAACAGAGAGTGGTGTCATTCAGATAGGCAGGTGGACTAGAGGAAGACCAGGTCTGAGGAATAAGTTCATAAATGGAGTTTGGGAAGTTGTAAAGATCGATTTGTGATAAAGATGTGAAGTAGACATTTGGGAGTTGATGGGCCTGGAGCTCAGGGGAAAGAGTAGTGGGCCACACAGATGATGCCAGGGAACAGGGGAGGAGGGAAGCTCCCTGAGGAGGAGAGCACAGAATGAGGCCGGGGCAGGCTTTGGTGAAATCTGCCAAGTCACCACATTTCAACAAGCTTTAAGGTGCAGCTGAGCTTTTAAGGTAAGGATAGTCGTGTACCCATAGTGAGAGCTAGTTCTGTAGAATGGGGGAGGGACAGAGGCCAGGCTGGCGGGTTACATGATGAAACGGGGACCCTGCTTCTGAACAGCTCTCAGTGCTACAGGGAGAAGGTTATATGAGCGTCTTAAATTGAACTCTGGAATAATAAAAGAATGTTCAGAGGACAGAGTTCAGTGGAGTAGGGAATGGCAGGTGTTTTCTGAGCAGGTTAAGCAGGGAGACTTCTGAAAGTGGAAACTCCTAAGGAAGTGTTCAAGTCATACTTATTTTTATGACTGCTTGAGTTTAAGCACAGTGCCTTATACTTATCAGTTCTTTAATTAGTGTTGGATGAATTTATGAAGAAAGTGCAATCTTTCTCCTAAAGAAATGTGGATGATTATCTTGGTAGTTCCTTTTAACTAGATAGTGGCCTTCAGACAGAAAAGCAGTCTGTGTGGGAGGAACAGTAGTGTCATCTGTGCATATGAAAAATAGCACCTTTTTTGGTAGGGAAGGTGTGGGTTCCAAATTCAGATGCTTGGATGTAGCAGACAGGTCATGTAAATGATTGATGTGGGGAGCCAGATTGGCAAAATGCAATGCCCTGAAGTGTGTCCTTCACAGCACACTTTCTGTCTTATGTGCACAGGACTAGAGTTCACAAAGAACTGTGTCTGCTTTTAATCTGGTCCTCTCAGTCTCTCATTTTCCTGCTTTTGATAGAGTAAGAAGTACTTTACTGGGCTTTTTGTTTGTTTATTTTTACTCATAAGAAAAAAGAGAAGCACAGGCTTGGAATAAAGACTTGAACATTGCTTTGGTCTCAGGCAGGCAGCCAAGGAGGGACCGTGGAGAACTGTCTGAAGGGGCGGCTGCTCCTTGCTCCAGCCAGTGGGGGCTGTGCAGGAGTGTGGATCTCAGCTTGGGTTGCCAGGTCTCCCAATTTGTCAAGAGAAACTGGAAACCCAGATTTGTGAATGAAATTTCCTGGAGAGATTTACTCCAAAATTTTAAAAAATAACAATGGCCACCAATTTGCTAACTATGTTTGATGTAAGGACACAATCTAAAAGTGTCTTAAGAACCCTCAGCACTCTGTGTCTCGGATTTCTTTGGTAGGTAAATCTTAGATTTTCATCCATGCTCCTTTCCTAATAGGAGAAAGAGTCGGGAACCCAGGATTGAGAGCTGATCACCTTAAAATTATTTAGTTTGTCCAATTGTTTTGAGAATTTGAGGAGCATTATGGCCCTTCTCTCCTGGGGACAAATGCACATATGTTCATATACATATGCATGCAGTTTTACAGAGTTTCAGAAGTTTTTAAATTGCTGGTTAAGATCCCTCCTTTACCTGGGTATCGCAAAAGGATCTTTACAACTTCCAAAACTCAGTTTGGAAGGAAGAGTGTTTGTTCTGAAGCCACGAGTCCCCTCCCTTCCTCTGTGTACAGGTGGCTTTTAGTCTTATCATTGCTTCCGCTATGTTCTCAGGCACCTCTCCTTGCAGGAAAGGCTTTCTTTCTGAAGATGCATTTTGTGAAAATACTTTATAGTAAGAGCATTTTAAAGTTTTCAAAATCTTCACTCATCATATAATCTAACCATTGATGTTTATAAATTAAAGTTATACAATTGTTAAGAAATGTTTGCAGCTCTCTTTTCTGGTAAGCAACTTGGAAACAGGTTTATATGATTTAAAAAACCAGGCCTATGCATCTTTCCACTCTTAAACAGTTCTATCGTTACCACTTGACTTATATAGAGTATTTTTTCCTATTTTCCATTATATTCTTTCCAATAATAAATAATAAATTACTTTTTCCACTTCTGTAGAAGAATTTCTTTCCTTCTGACTCTTGAGTCAAGTATTTTAGAGTCTACTAAAAATAGACTCTATCACTGATAATGCCTTTGCCATGGAGTATTACTGAGGTCCAAAATGATGGCCAGAAAGAGGAGAGTGCCAGTCTAGTCCTCCTTTATGATTTCCATTTATTTTCACTTACTGTCCATTCCAGTGCTGGACATCAGCATGCTCTCCTCCCAGGATGTGGTCCGTATGCTGCTGTCCCTGCAGCCCTTTCTCCAAGACGCCATCCAGAAGAAGCGCACGGGCAGGACCTGGGAGAACATCCAGCATGTGCAGGGGCCGCTCACCTGGCAGCAGTTCCACAAAATGGCAGGCCGGGGCACCTACGGTACAGTCTCCTCCCTGTCCACGTGCCTTCTCCACTTTCCGTCTCCTGGAAAGCAGCTTAGTCAAGTCCTTGCTTCCCTGAAAAAATAGTCTTGAGTTCATATTCTTTTTGTTTTCCTAAAGTCAGTATTGGAGCCAAGCTTTCTAAACATTGGTGGCGTAATCAGGGTCAATGAGGGAAATAATCCCTAAGTAGAGCATTTATTAGTCTCCTCTTCCTTGTCTTCGTGGCATTTTTATTTGGATGAACTTCTGAACTGGTTTTGTCAAGATCCTGACTGTGACACTTATCTCAGAGGAAGTGACATAGTGCTGCTGGGAAATGAACTTCAGCTTCTTCTGCTTTGCCCTCCAATTGAACCATTAGAACATGTTCAGACTCATTTAATTGAGTTGTTCATCAGGGACCATTTAATGAGAGGCTTTGGAGAATACTTTTAAGAGTATCATGTCAATCTACGATGAAATTTCCACTGCCAGAATTAAGACGAGGGCACCAGGAACTTACCAATGGTTCGGCTGTGGGAATTGGATTCCCAGGCCCCTTCCTAAACTGCACTGTTGTTTTAGGTTCAGAAGAGTCTCCTGAGCCGCTGCCCATCCCCACCCTGCTGGTAGGCTATGACAAAGACTTCCTCACCATCTCGCCCTTCTCCTTGCCGTTTTGGGAGAGGCTGCTGTTGGACCCATATGGGGGCCACCGGGATGTTGCCTATATTGTGGTGTGTCCAGAAAATGAGGCCTTGCTCGAAGGAGCCAAAACTTTCTTCAGGGACTTGAGCGCTGTCTATGAGGTGAGGAAGACCTGAAACCATTTCTTTGATATGAGTCCTCAGATTGTTTCTGGTTATGACTTAATCTTTTTTTTTTTTTTAAATATATTTTATTGATTTTTTACAGAGAGGAGGAGAGAGGGATAGAGAGCTAGAAACATCGATGAGAGAGAAACATCGACCAGCTGCCTCTTGCACACCCCCCACCGGGGATGCGCCCGCAACCAATGTACATGCCCTTGACCTGAATCGAACCTGGGACCTTTCAGTCCGCAGACCGACGCTCTACCACTGAGCCAAACCGGCTTCGGCATGGTTATGACTTAATCTTAAAGAATAAATATCTTCAAAGTAGATCTTAAAGAAAATTTGCAATTAGTTGGAAGATGAAGGAAAGAATTAAATTGGAAAGTTTTTTTAGAAATAAAATGCGTTCCCATCTTGCTTTATATTTCATTAGATATAGAAGACTCTCTGCCAGCCTTACCACACATCGTAAAGTCCTCTTAGCTCTTTCCCCCCATTGATGTGTACAGGTTTGAGAGGATTGTTCACCAGGGGAAATGGCAGTTCAGAGGATGAGCTGTGCAAAAAGAAGATGTGGCTACCCTTTTTGTGGGTAGGGCAGAACTGAATAAAAATGTTCAGCTTGAAAGTTTCTAAATCAAAAGATAAATTTAATGAATTATGCCCTTGTTATCTTTTGTTTAACACTATATTCGTCTGAATACTGAAATTTTGATACACATTAAGAATGTAATCACCATCATAATGTAACAGGCAGGTAGATAATTTTATATATTTAGTACATAAATTCCTGTTACTTTTGAAAAATTAGAACCATGTCTGTCTTTGAAGACAAAGTACCACATTTCTTCTGCCAAAGTACACACACACTAAGTTCTTTGTACTCTATACTTCTGATATCATATTTGGCAAGATCAAATTGAGTTTTTTTTATTACATTTATTGGGGTGACATTGGTTAATGAGATTTTGTAAAGTGTTTAGCACTGTGACAGGCATATTATAAGTATTACAAATGTGGTTGTTAAATAAGATGCCAGGTGGAGTTTCAAAAATATTCCATAGCAGAACATCCACTTTCTGTAAACATGAGCACACATGAAGTAGGAGACGTATGTGTTGCTGCAAAGAAATGAGGCGGTGCTACGTATTAGGTAATGGCATCAATTAAGCCACTGAAGGAAACCCTTGGATCCAGTAATTTCTAAACAGTGCCTGGCCCATGGATACAGAATAATATTAAGTCATACTTACCCTAACGCAGAAAACTTGTCTAAGCAATTTCAAAGCCCAGCCATTCTCTTGAAGGAAGCCTACATATAAGTTACAAAACATAAAAGGCTTGCCAGGTCTTTTTAGATCTTAAGAACTTGCATTTGGCAGCAACACATACCTGCTTAAGATTTTGTAGGGTCTTTGTAAGCCTTCAGTTCTTTAACTCTAGCAAGGAATAATAACATGGGCTTTCCAGGTGGTGAGCAGATAGTTAAGTAGTTTACTTTTGACAGGTATATTAATTATCTGCCATTTAGTATCCTGGAAATTGACAACAGCATCTCACGCTAAAACAACCATTTACTTTATAAAAGTGATCAGCACTTCCGTGGCCTCCGCTATTAGCGATCTCCAAATGTCTGTAACAGTCTAACAGATGGCCCATACATTTTAATGGTATCTTATGGGAACATGTTTTGAGTGGGGATTACTTAAGAGGTTTTAGTGGACAGATGTCTCGGTCAGCCTCAGTAGGCAGGGACCTATTAGTTCCTTTTTGACCCCTAGCAGTCAGTTGGGTAGCACTCTGCAGTTTTTCCTCAGTCTGGAAGAATGAATGGGCTGGGCTGCAGAAACATTTCTTTTCCTTCAGAAGAAACACTTGTTTTTCTGTAGAGGAGCTGCTCCAGGTTTTGGAGAAATATACAGCAGTATCAGGGTATATGATAATTACCAAATAGGACCAGTTTAAATGTTGGTGTGGTTGCATGTGGTCACAATTAAAAGAAAAAGGAAAATGCCTCCACATGTATGTACAGAATGTGCCTCACTAACACTACATGCTGAACAAGGTGATGCATTCTGTCATAAGTAATGGTCTTGTTTGTGGTGTCAGATGTGTAGGCTTGGGCAGCATAAGCCCATCTGCAAAGTGCTACGTGATGGGATCATGCGTGTGGGGAAGACCGTGGCACAGAAGCTGACGGACGAGCTTGTGAGTGAGTGGTTTAACCAGCCGTGGAGCAGCGAGGAGAATGACAATCATTCCAGACTCAAACTGTATGCGCAAGTTTGCCGCCATCACCTAGGTAAATGGGAATTTATTTGGAAAAGTAGAATTTGAGAGAGCAAATAGCAAATTGCACCCCCACACATACCTGTTAGGGACCAGCATTATATTTATTTTGTCTAATGTCCATTACTGTGTTTATTTAGATCTAATTTTTACATTCTGTTTAAATGCTAATTTTCATGTGCATGAATATTCTTTAAAAACTATTTAAAATTGCCTAATAAAGTCATATCTAATTTATTCCAGAGTTCAAAAACTTAACACCATAATTTAAGATTAACTGCTTAATTTTAACCCAGATTCCCAAGAGAATCTAAGAATCTTGTAAAGCCCTATATGCATAAGAGCATAATATACCACGATGACTGGTCTCCCATTTTTCATTGATGGCATAGGGATTCAGTCTGAAAGGAAATGTTATAGAAAATCATCTATAGGTTCTTTTTCAGTATAAGTATTTCCATGTCCGTTTTTGTTTTTGCATAATAGATAAGCATGTGTTCAAGTGTGGAGATAGCATTTTGGGTGTTGTAACCAGAATATTGCAGCCTGAAAGCATAGTTTTTTAAAAAAGTGGCCATTCTGAATTTCTGATTTTCTAACACTGCAGAGCCTCACTAATGTCATCTCTCTGCATATGTTCTTTCAGCACCTTATTTAGCCACTCTGCAGCTTGATAGCAGCCTGTTGACGCCACCTAAGTACCAGACCCCACCAGCAGCAGCACAGGGACAAGCTACTTCTGGGAACACTGGGCCTTTAGCTCCAAATGCAGGATCTGCAGCTCCCTCCGCTGGTGGTGCATTTAATCCCACCTCCAATGGCAGTTCTGCGAATCCTGCAGCAAGTAGTTCTGCATCTGGTTCCAGCGTGCCACCAGTCTCATCCTCTGTCTCTGCTCCCGTCGCTAACCAGCTAGGCACTACCTCCTCGTCAGGATTCAGTGGTAGTGTTGGAGGGCAGAACCCCAGCTCTGGGACCAGTTCTGCTGATAGAACACAGGGGAACATAGGCTGTGGTGGAGACCCTGAGTCTGGGCAGAGCTCCTCTCAGCCCTCACAGGACGGACAAGAAAGGTATGTTACTCATTGTTTGAGGTGGGTGGCTTCCGTGTGGACTCTTATCTACCTTTCTTTTATACCCTCTCTCCCCGTCAACCTGGAGAGACTCTAAATCTAGAAAAGGTCTCTGATTTTCTTCTTCCCTTGAGAAAGTAACAGTTATCAATCAGCAGCATCAGTGTTAAGAAATATGAGACTTCTTGCCCTAGTCAGTTTGGCTCAGTGGATAGAGCATTAGCCTGCGAACTGAAAGATCCCAGTTTCGAATCTGGTCAAGGATAGGTACTTGCTCAGGTTGTGGGCTCGATCCCAAGTAGAGGGCTTGCAGGAGGCAGCCGATCAATGATTCTCTCATCACTGATGTTTCTATCTCTCTCTCCCTCTTCCTTCCTCTCTGAAATCAATAAAAATATATTTAAAAAAGAGAGAGAGAGAGACTTCTTGTAAACTAACTTACCTATTTAATTTATTATTAAACTTACTAGATGCCTGGCGCACAAAATTCTTGCACGGATAGGGTCCCTAGGCTTGGCCTGCGATCAGAGGTGATCTTCCCCAGCTGGCGACAGCTGGCTTCACCCCCCACTCCCAGTTCCCTGTTCCCCATCAGGTGATTAGAGCCTGTCAGCTGGTGGGAAAAGTCTGAGAGGTTGGCTGGCAGGTCCCAATCAGGCAATTGGGGCCTACAGGCTGGGGGCAGCTCCTGCATTGAGCATCTGCCCCCTGCTGGTCAGTGCACATCATAGCAACTAGTTATTCCACCATCTGGTTTATTTGCATATTACACTTTTATATATATATTATAGATTAGCTTCATAGTAAGCTATTACTATTAACATATTATATGAATATAATATATGGATAAAAGTAAGCTATTACTGTTAATATAATATTATTATAAAATATCTTTGTAGACTACAGCTATAAGAAAAAAAAGATCTCCCATTTAGAGGCAGTTACTGTCATTTATATCTACCTGGGGTGCTAACTGGCTTGGTTTGCCTTTATTTCAGTAATATGACACATGTTAATGTTACATTTCACCTGTAATCATTGCTCAAGGAGTCAGTATGCACTAGAATTGACTTTATTTTTATATAATTTATGTTTACTTTTGCATCTCATAAGTGACTTTCTCTGCAGTGCTACAGAGAGAGAGAGAATAGGAATTCCGACCGAGCCTGACTCCGCAGACAGCCAAGCCTATCCTCCAGCTGTTGTCATTTACATGGTGGACCCCTTCACCTACACTGCAGAGGAAGACTCTACCTCTGGAAACTTTTGGCTGTTGAGTTTGATGCGCTGCTACACAGAGATGCTGGATAATTTACCTGAGCATATGAGAAATTCTTTCATTCTCCAGGTAAGTATTTGCAAGTTTATTTTATTTTCATTTATTTTTGTTTAAATATATTTTATTGCTTTTTTATAGAGAGGAAGGGAGAGGGATAGAAAGCTAGAAACATCAATGAGAGAGAAACATCAGCTGCCTCCTGCACACCTCCTATTGGGGATGTGCCTGCAACCAATGTACATGCCATTGACCAGAATCGAACCTGGGACCTTTCAGTCTGCAGGCCCTATCCACTGAGCCAAACCAGTTTCGGCGCAAGTTTATTTTTTTGCCTTTGTTGTTGTTTAGTATATGAAAGTAAATACAAGTTCATGATTTTTAAAAATAATTTGAAGTACATAAAAATATAAAAGGAAGTATATTCATAATTGTATCTTTTTGATTCAGCCTTCATTATCATGTCTAGCCTTTCTTTCTGTATGTTTGTTAACCCAGTTGAGATCATACTTAATATAACTTAGTAGAGGCCCGGTGCACAAAATGCATGCACTTGGGAGGGAGTCCCTCAGCCCGGCCTGTGCCCTATTGCAGTTCGGGAACCCTTGGGGAATATCTAACTGACGGCTTGTGGGGAGTGGGCCTAAGCTGTTAATTGGACATCCTTAGCACTGCCACAGAGGCAGGAGAGAGTCTTCCGCCATCACCACTGTACTCGCCAGCCATGAGCCCAGCTTCTGGCTGAGTGGTGCTCCCCCTGTGGGAGCTCACTGACCACCAGGGGGCAGCTCCTGCATTGAGCCGCTGGTTGTTCTGCCATTCTGTCAATTGCATATTAGCCTTTTATTATATAGGACTAGTGGTCCGGTGCACAAAATTCTTGCACTTGCAGGGTGGGTCCCCCAGCCTGGCCTGTGCCCTGTCATAGTGCAGGAGCCCTGTGATCCATTGCCCCAAAGAGATAGGCCCCGCCCACCCATCCGGGACTCCTCAATGGATTGCCCCAGAGAAGTAGGCCAGAGACAGGGGTCCTGCCTCCGCAGTGCATGGAGCCGCAGGACCCCCGGGCCTTGCCACGTGGAGCCATGGGATGCCCAGGCCTTGCTGCGCAGAGGCCCCTGCCAGGCCCCCCTCCAGGCCAAGCCACACAGAGGCCCCTGGACCCCAATGCAAGTGCATGGAGGCCTCTACTGGACCCCACTCCTGGGCTGGGCTGCATGGAGGTCTGTGGACTGGGCAGAACTGTGCGGAGGCCTCTGCTGGGCCGCAGGCCTCCTGGTAATGGATTGTGAAGGCATTGATACAAGTTCCCGAAGCTGCAAGTCCCCGCCCACCCACGCCTGCTGGGCATACAGCCTGTTGAGAGCGTCCTGACCATTTGCATATTACCCTTTTATTAGTATAGATATTCTTTCTGTACTTAATGCTCTTCATTAATACTTTTTCATGTTATTTAAAATTTTCACAAGCAACATTTTAAATGACTGTATATCTTCTTTATCTAATCATGCCTGTACAGTCACTTAATTAATTTCCACTTTTTCACTATTATAAATAAAGCCATAGCAAGCATCTTCATGTATAATATTTTTCTCACATTTCAGGTCATTTCTTAAAATAGATTCCTAGATATAGATCTGATAAGTGTTATAAGCATTGTCAAATTCCTTTCCCAAAAGGTTCTACTTGCTTACATTTCTTTCAGCATGAGTGAGCATGCCCATTTTCTCCGCACCCTTGACAGCTTGATGGCATAATAATTGTTTTTAATTTTATAATTTAATTGGTAGAAAACAATGTCTTAGTTGCTTGGGTTTTGTTTTACTGTTACTTTAAAGTTATCTTATAGAATTAAAAGGTCAAAGTTAAAGTTACCAGGATAGATTGTTAATAGTTTTTTATTGTTTTGACATTTGTCTCTCAAATGACTAGATAATAATACCAAAGATGCTATGCACACTATGTGTATATATAAATGATATATCTATTAAAAAACAAGTTTTAAAATTGGGCAACATAGATACAGTACATTAAGAATTTACCCCTAAAATAGGAACAGGGTTATTTCTAAGTGACAGTGTAACTTGACCAACACAATGGCACCTCTTCTTAAATTGCTGGTGTACATTTGGAATACAGGATTTTATGTCACTGGAAGGAATTAAGATTGAATTATATGATGTTTGGCATTCGTGTATTTTATAACTAAAATTATCTTCCCCATTCAAGTTAAGAATTCCTACCATTTCATTTTCAACTTGTTAGCATGTTTGATCTCAGTTTCTAGTTTTATTTGTGTTTGTGTCTGTAGATTGTGCCTTGCCAGTCCATGCTGCAGACAATGAAGGATGAACAAGTTTTCTACATTCAATACTTGAAGTCCATGGCATTTTCAGTGTACTGCCAGTGCAGGCGACCTCTGCCTACACAGATCCACATTAAGTCCCTCACAGGGTTCGGGCCTGCCGCCAGCATTGAGATGATTCTCAAGAACCCGGAGGTGGGTAGTAGCAGGGCAGACCTTTGCAGAAAGCCAGGGGAGTCGGGAGCTGGATTGTTCCTCCTTTATTTAAGAATGGGAGTTAAATCCTTAAGTCAAATAGAAGAGATACTCCTCTGAACTTGTAAGATTTTTTGAGAAAGGCAAGCAGACTCTTGCTGTTTTTTGATCTAGGGCCTAAGGCAACAATATGTTTATTACTGTTACTTATGTTCACCTCTCCTATATTTATCTTGTTCTTTATTTATTTTTTTATCTGAATCTGTGTCTTCAGTCACTAACTTTCTACCTTCTCCAGTTCTCTCTTGATCAGAAGTTGTGTGGGCGTTCATTTCATAAGAGCCTCTCTTTTTCTGATGCACATTCTTACGGGGGCTGCTTTCTTCTCTTCTTGTCTCAGGCTTCTGTATACAAATGAATGCTTTTTCTTTCCATCTTAATAACCTACTTCCCACAGATAGGCACCTCATGGGGATTCCAAAACACCAAGACCAAACTATTTTAAACAAAGTTGTACACTTCCTTTGTTTCTCTAATCTCCTTACACTAAAGGTAGACGCACAGAGCAAAGTTTAGCCTTCAGAATGCAGTTCGCACAAATTTATTGCATGGAAGATTACCCATTAGTAAAAGCCAACAAAACTGCTGATTTTAGTTGGTAATGAAAGAGTGTTTTGTGTTTTAGGTTCTTTTTGAAAACCCTATAAAATGCTTTCCCTTCAAAAAGTAATAACTTAGAAATGGAAAAGTGATGCAACTCGAGGTCATACTGCATTTGTTGTCACTTGGGGACCTTTTCCCCATTTTTTTCAGCATGGTCCCAGAAGAGGAAGCTGTTTAGCTGACAACAAACATTCTTTCTGGATCATATATATTTTCTATATTTGGCAGTTTTATTCTTTTGAGTTTGAATCTTTATTTTTGTGAGCAATTCATCTATTTTTCTCTTACTAACTTTTCTGAAATGAAATAAATCAGGTTGTTGTTGTTTTTTTTTTCCTGTTTCTTATTTTGTCTCAGAAATTATGAGTTACTGCTTTTCTTTATAAACTTAATTTTTTACTTCTTGTGGTTATTTTACAGTTCAGATGCTGTCATTTCTTATGCTTTAATAAGAATTTATCACAACCTCAAATGGTAATTAATAGTGTTCTGCATTTTTATAGAGGAGAGTAAAGGATATCCCAGGGCATGGTGTAACATTTGTAAAGATTATAACATTGTGGCAGAGCACCATCATGAGATAAAGTGTGGCTTAGAGGAAAATAAGTGAAAAAATGTGCTTTTTTCCTTTTTGCTTTGAAATAGGAAGAGAGAAATAAATCACTTGATTTTATTAAAAACAAAAGAACCAAACGTTATGAATAGTTACTTATGTTTGTACATTTTTACTTGCATTGCAGTAATGATGAATTGCCAAATGCTGCCTCTCCCTCAGTCTAGAATATCACCTTTCATTTATTAAACAAAGCTGGGTGTCTGCTGTACTAGGTGATGAGGGTGCAGTGGATGGGGAACCAAACCACCAGGCCCCTGCTTCCCCTGCTTCTGGAAAGTCTGCCTCTCCACAGTGGTACAGCTTCATGCAAGCACGTTGCCACATAAGGAAGACTGTATCTTAGAATTTACCATGCAAGTTTTAGAAGAAATCTTACACTAGTTTCACTTTTGTTTTTCATAGAACATCCAGCTCTTACAAACAGAGTCTGGGAAGAATATGTTACTTAGTGTCTTATCACAAGCTGTCTATTGCATCTCAGATATTTATTTTTCTTTTTTAGCTCATATATTTGACACTTAACCTGTTGTTTCATACAAAACTTTTCAGGCAGCCTTGACTGGACTCTTTTTTTTTTTTTAATTATTGAAACATAATTCACATATTATAAAAATCACATAGGTCAGTGATTTTTAGTTTATTCACAGAGTTTGCTGCTATCATCACTGCCTAACTTTAGAACATTTCATCAATCCGGAAAGAAACTTTATACCTATTAGCAGTCACTCCTCATCTTGCCTTCCTCCAGCTTCTGGCAACAACTGATCTACTTTCTGTCTCTATGGATTGCCTGTTCTGGATATTTTATGTAAATGGATTCATACAATATATTATCTTTTATGTCTGGCTTTTTTCATTTAGCATAATATTTGAGGTTTATCCATGTGATAGCATAGATGTTGTTTATTAAATATTGAAAAGTTGATGATTAAATTTTGTCACAGTTTATCGATAATGTTTGTCTTAGGTAACAGCTGTTGCTTTGATTTCTTAAATTACATACACACGCGTATATTATACAAACTGAAAAGTAATCCTAGGTGTACTGCCTAATGAATTTTACTAAGTAAAAATACCATGTAACAAGCACCCAAAAGCTCTCCCTTCTGGTCAGTCCAGCAGTATCACTATTCTGACTTACAACAACGTAGTTTTGTCTCTTTTTTGACTTTTATATAAATTGAATCATATAATTTATAAACTCTTGTGTCTGGCTTTTATTCAATGTTGAGGTTCATCCTTTTTGTTGCCTTTAGTGGTAGTTTTTTTTATTTCCTTTGCTGTCTTATATTTTGGTTGAGTGACTATATCACAGTGTATCATCCATCTTACTACCATGTTTCCCCGAAAATAAGACATCCTCCGAAAATAAGACCTAGCGCATGGAAAGATAAGACATCCCCTGAAAATAAGATCTAGCGCAACTTTGGGGAAAAAAATTAATATAAGACACTGTCTTATTTTCAGGGAAACAGGGTAGTACTATTGATGGGTATTTAGGTCATTTTCTGTTTGCAGCTAATATGATTAACACTATTGTGAACAATACTTGGTGATGTCTTTTTTATTTCAGACATTCTGGTGGGTTTGTGGTGGTGTCTCATTATGGTTTTAATTTCTATTTTTCTAATGAAATTGGGCCAGTTTACTTTCTAAAATAATAATTTCTTTTAATAAGGAAATATTGGTTTGGTAGGATGCCCTAGCTTCTATCACTTAAAACAGTCTTTTTGGTGCTTGTGTTATCATTGCTATTTATATATATGGTATTGGTGGGGGGCAATCTGTTACCATTATTCCCTCTTGGTTTCATTCAGTGCTGTTCTGGATTGTGTTGTAAACATGAAGTTGAGTGGCTTTGTGTTGATATTGATTTTGATTTTTATTTCAGCGGCCTAGCCCCATCCAGCTTTACTCCCCTCCTTTTATATTGGCCCCAATCAAAAACAAGCAGACAGAAGCCCCAAACAAAGACAAGCAGACAGAGCTGGGAGAGATACCTGGCGAAGGGAGCCAGAAATACAATGTGCTCTTTGTGGGCTATTGTTTGTCTCACGACCAGCGCTGGCTTTTGGCTTCCTGCACTGACCTCCATGGGGAGTTGCTAGAAACCTGCATTGTAAATATTGCTTTACCAAACAGGTGAGCGACCTTGGTGTTTGTGGTGCATGTAAATTGATGCTGTGCCTTTTTGAGATATAAATCTTTCTCATTTCTCTTTCTAAATGCATTGGGTACCCTGTGGGTGGGTTCTTTGGAATCCTGTTGGTTTTGTCCGAGTGATAACTTTGATTCATTTGGGGACTTTTTCCCCATTTTTTTCTTTTTTAGATCACGGAAGAGTAAAGTATCTGCACGTAAAATTGGACTACAGAAGTTATGGGAATGGTGCATAGGTATTGTCCAAATGACCTCTCTACCCTGGAGAGTTGTTATTGGGCGGCTCGGGCGTCTTGGCCACGGGGAGCTTAAAGGTGAGAAGTTCTTGAAGGCAATATGCACAAGAAACAAAGGAAAAGGGCTGAGCTGAGGGAGAACATTGTACAATTGGTAGTAAGAATAAAGCAGATTATATTTTCATGTTCTTTTAAGTGTACAAGAAACCAGTGGTTTTTAAACTTTCCATTGGTAACAAAATCATGTACTCAAATCAAAGGAAATCTTAGTGAACCACACTGTGTAAAACAAAGAATGTTTTAATATAAAAAGCACACTCAGTATATTAGAATTTCTAATGTGTGGTGTTTTTTTTTTTTTTTCTTCTATATTGATTCAAAGAAAAGTACAAGTCAGTGTTAACACAGATTTTATGTCAGAGGTTATTAATGATAGAAGAAATCATATATAAGAATCATATATATTGTTCTTTGTTTTGATGGTTGACAGTGACAAGTTTGGTATTTCTAGATTTTGCCTTGGTGGCACAATAGCAAGATAATCCTGATGTACAAGGACTAGTAGTTGTAAATTGGAATGGTCTTTATTCATCTTGTCACTGTCTGATATTCTTCAGTTTAGAAATTGAATACACACACACACACACACACACACTCACTCTAGGTGACCGATGCTGGAAATTGGTGCATGTAGGGGGGCAGGTTCCCTCAGCCCACCCTGCACCCTCTCCAATTGGGGACCCCTTGGGGGATGTCCGACTGCCGGTTTAGGCCCGAGGATCAGGCTTAAACTGGCAGGCAGACATCCCTCTCGCAATATGGGAGCACTGGCTCCTAACTGCTCACCTGCCTTCCTGCCCAATTGCCCCTAGCTATCTCTGCCTGCCAGCATGGTCACCCTTAACAGTCCTCCCCTGCCGGTTTGGTTGCCCCCAACTGCCCTCCCCTGCTTGCCTGATCTTGCCCCCAACTGCCCTCCCTTGCTGGCCAATTTGGTTCTGATTGGTCAGTTTCAATGCCAGTCAGCATCAAAAGCTCTGCCTCCTAGACAGCCATTGGCTCCCCATAGCACCAGATTTGGTTCTGATTGGTCAGCTTCTATTCTAGTCAGCATTAAAAGCTCTGCCTTCTAGGCAGCCATTGGTTCTGTACCCACATTTGGTTATGATTGGTCGGTTTCTATGCCAGACAGTGTCTCTGGGCCTATCAACGGGGCCTGATCAGAAAGATGGGATTGATCAGCAGCCCCAAATGGAGGCGTGGCTGCTGACCAGACTGGGAGAGAAAGAGAAGGGCAAGTGTTGATCAAAAGCTGCCTCAGAAGCAATGGATCAGTCCCTGTTTCTCTCTTCAGGCCTCTTTCTGGCCCTGATTAGCAGCCCCCTCAGCAGTCAGTGCTGGGATACCAAGACTGACTTCTGGTTGATTGAACCTCAGTCCTTACAACCCAGGGTTTTTATATATTACGATACCAACTGCTTATTATTTCTTGCAAATACAACAGTCACAAAGTACTGAAAGTAACTAACATAACACAGTTGACCACTAGCAGCTGTCTTGCCAAGCTTTAAGCCCAGCTCATTTACTAACCTAGTGCAGCTACTTGTACAGTTTTAAAAGCCTAGATTTCATTTAAAAGCCTTACTAATTAATGACACGTTTATAAAAAGTTCAGTATATGCATAGAGATGGAAGTGGTTTCTTTCTAAGGTTGGCACAAAAGCAAAAACAGGTGGTTTTGTGCTTGCAAGTCTATTAGAGCAGAAAAGCAAACTTTATTTAGAAAGGGCCAGATAGTAAATATTTTGTATTTTACAAGCTAGCTGGTCACTGTTACAACTACTCAACTCTGCCATTGTAACTTCAGAGCAGCCATAGACAACACCTTAGTAAATAGGCAAGGTTGTGTTCCAATAAAACTTTATTTACAAAAGCTTGGCGGGCAGGAATTGGCATTGGGACCATGGTTTGTTAACACTTGCACGAGGGTGCACATGTTATTTATTTATTTTTTACATGAAACACATTTTATTTCAGGAATTTCGCAAATAAGTGATACGGATATAACTTGCATTGTAGCAAGTGCCTCAGTATGTTATTAGGGTATAACAGCAATTATACAAATATATAGTATGTATTAAATGAGTTCTCTTAGAAACCCATAATTTATTACTAAAACATTGTTTTAGTAATAAATTACATTGCAGACTAATAGAAGATAGTACCATTTTCATTTTTTAAAGACTATCGTACTTATAATGAATCTGATATCAGTAGCCTGGAGGCCTATTACATTAGGGGGTTCGTCATTTTATTTCTGTCAGAATTCCTATCTTCTCTTCTAGTATACCTTTTAGTCAATCTTATTTCTTAAAGGTTTTGAGCTACTCTTAACCCTTGGGGAAAGTTAGAATGTAATAGAGAAGAAGAGGGGATCCAGACGTAGCCTAGTCACTGAGTGTTTTGTGGAATTATTAGGCCATTGCCTGCCTGTGTGATTTGTTAGGAGGGCACACTCCTCCTGCCCCTGAGAGGGAAGGGTGTAAGTGTGACTGAGAGAAAATGTGTTTTCAAGGAATGAAGACACGGAGAAGAGCCCAGCACACAGGAAATCAGGGTCCTTCCCTCAGGGACCAGAGGCCTGCAGCATCGTTTCTGTCAGCTAGGTGCCTGTAGATTTCAGCCAGCTTGGTGAACTTCCGTTCTTTATCACCAGAGTGTTTGGGATAGAAATCTTTATACCACCTTTCTTCTTAAATACAAACCTTAATCAACTTTATTTTTCTGTGGTTTTAAAAAATACTGCTTTGTGTTCCTGGCCACTTCTATTTCAGCCACTTCAGTTTGAGGTTCATTAGGAATAGGAAATAGGAAAACTTTTCTTTTCACCTTCTCTTTCAGGAAAGAACTGCTTGTTTGAAAACATGTAGAGCTAGAGAAGCCTGCAGGAGTGGCATGTCAGCAGTGGCATGTGACCACGTACTTTTATTTCCCAGAGTTAACATAACCCATAACAGCTCTCTGAGACGACATCATGCCATTTGTTTGGGGGCAATACACAAGTATTAGAAAATTTGTGCCAACTTTTAATCTGCGTAATTATTGCAGCTTCATTTGGAGCACTTCCCTCACACCCATTGTTTGTTAGCGCTTTGGGGCTTTCTGAGAAAGGCTCCCCCTGCTGTTGCTGCTGCTGCTTGCCTTTTGCCTTTTGCCTTTCGTGGAAACAGCCAGCCTACAGCAAGTGGTAAACAAAACTGGTTATCCCACTGGTACTCACCTGTGAAGACAGTGCTGCTAGGGGCTGTGAAAGAGCCAGACCTAGAGGAGGAGGAGGAGGAAGAGGAGGAGGGATAGAACAGACTGGTGGCCTCACCAGAGAGCTTCTGAAGAGTGTAAACCGACCTGGAGGCTCACAGGCCATTTCAGTCGGTGCTGCCATCTGCAGAATAGTGGGCCTTTGTTTCTTTGTTAATGAAGTGTCAGAAAGGTCAAGCAACATGTTCTTTGTAGCAAGGAGAGGAACCTGTGGGAAGCCACTTTCCCAGAAGGCCCAATCCTGGAAATTCACTTACCAGGCAAAACTGGTAAAACACTCGAACCTCACAGCAACATGAATTCTTAAAGACTGCATATATTATACTAATAACTGTGCTACTTGGTTCCAGATTGGAGTATCCTCCTTGGAGAATGTTCACTGCAGACAATCAGTAAACGGCTCAAGGAAATGTGCCGGATGTGTGGAATCTCTGCCACAGACTCTCCTTCTATCCTTAGTGCCTGCCTGGTTGCCATGGAGCCCCAGGGGTCCTTTGTAGTGATGCCAGGTAAATCTCTTCTTGTCAGTTTAATTAATGACGCATCGCATCAGTTTGTCTACTCAAACTTAAATTCATAGACAAGTGTAGAATGTATCTGTATTATTTTTATAAGAGGAAATTGTACTTAAGGTTCAAAAATGGAAACCACTTGGTCTCTTCCCAGGGATGTAGTTTGTGATTTTTCTTTCCTTTGTTGTCCACACCGTGGAGAGAGCCTGCGCTCTGGCTATGACTGAGAGGCCTTAGAGTCATGGCCGATTTCTACTGCCTGCCCCAGTTTGTTGTCAGGTTATCAGGCTCACCCTCCAAAAGTGATTAACGGACACCAGTGTGATACGTATTTGAATATCCTTTTGGAGATAGGTGTTTGACAGATTCTCTAAGCAGCCTCGAGAGAGCATACTCACAGTCTCTCTCACAAAGTTGAGGATGAATGGTGAGGCACATACGGGTAAAACATTTAGTTTAGTGCCTGGACCACAGTAAATTCTCAGCAAGTACCAGTACGTGGATAAGCCAAAACATTGTGGCCACAGAGTGTTTTTGGTATGTTTTTTAAAAATATATTTTTATTGATTTCAGAGAGGAAGGGAGATGGAGAGAAAGATAGAAACATCAATGCTGAGAATAATTGATTGACTGCCTCCTGCACACCCCCTACTGGGGATTGTGCCTACAACGTGGGCATGTACCCTGACCGGAAATCGAACCAGTGACCAGGAGGTGATTGTTCATAGATCGACAATCAACCACTGAGCCACAGTGGCCAGGCTAGCGTGTTTTTGAGGGGGGTTTTTTGTGTTGTTGTTGTTTTAACAAATTAGCAATTAAGCTATTATAATTTTATGGCAAAGCAATTTTATACTTTTAAAACTGTTTTTACCACCCAGGTATTTTTTTCAATAAATGGGAGACCCTTTCCTCTCACTCCCTGTAAAGGTAAATAGTTTTGGGTGTGAGACAGGTGGCCCGCAGGGGCCTGCTCGGTAGACCTTAGATTGATTGTTGCCTGCACCACTTGAGCAGATTACAAAACTTTACTTGTGCTCTGTCCTCATCACAAAATGTTCTTACCTTGAGGCAGCCATGATGATTGAATGAGGTAACATGAATGAATAATGTAGCACAGAATCTGGGATGTAGTAAACATTTAATAAGTGTTAGTTATAATAATTATTAGTTAAATGGTACCATTTCTACAGAATTGTATCATTTAGGAGAATAGTACTTTACAGTTTGTGAGCAACCACAGGAGGAAGGGACGTGGGAGATTTATTTTTATAAACAAGTCTTATATAAATAATTAAAACATACTTGGTAGACTCAGTCCAATTTTATCCTAACCTTTCCAATATGAAATGAGGCTTTAGTTATTGTAGCTATATGCTCTCAGTCAGTTTCTTAAAGATATCTAAACACTTGGGCTCAACTTTAAATGTGTGTTTATCATGGTGGTTGTGTCAGACTCCTACCTTTCCAGCTCAGGTCCTCATAAACATGTCATTTCTGGAGTTGTTCACTCCTGCACAATAGGAATTAATACTTTTTTTTTTTTTTAAGATGCTGTCACAATGGGCTCTGTTTTTGGCCGAAGTACTGCATTAAACATGCAGTCATCTCAGCTTAACACCCCTCAAGATGCTTCTTGTACACACATCTTGGTATTCCCGACATCTTCAACCATCCAAGTGGCTCCAGCCAACTATCCCAACGAAGATGGGTTTAGCCCCAACAATGGTGAGTGGGGACCATGTTTGCCTAGAACTCGGCTTCTTCCACAAGAGACAGAGCTAGAGTGTGGAGTCAGGGGGCTGCTGCAGGCGGGCCTTTGTTGTGGCAACACATGAAGTATGAAGAGGGGCTTATGAAGGTTGGAGAATCTGTTTGGTTTTGAAGATTTAATTGGTTTGCTCTCTGCAGTTCTTGTTTGATACCTAGTAATGCCATGCAACAGTAATGCCATGCAACAGTCCCATTCTGCAGACAAGAAACCAATACCAAATAAATACTTTCCTCTTTTGAGGAATTCACTTCCTCTTGTTTTTCATGAAAGACCAAAAGTAGTATCTGCTTGGTAGCGTAGTGTATGTGGGTGTTACTCTTTCAATAAATATTTCTTGATCTGAATGGAAGGAGGAAGACTAATAGGCAATGTGATGATAGCATCGCCTTTAGCTAACCACTGTGAGCAGGGTTTGTTCAAGACAGCTTTTTACTTGATTATTCTTAATAGGGTTTTTTTTATTCAATATATTAAGGCATTCATTAAGAAATGGTTATTTATGCTGAGGCCGGTTTGGCTCAATGGATAGAGCGTCAGCTTGGAGACTGAAGGGTCCCGGGTTCGATTCCAGTCAAGGGCACGTACCTTGGTTGCGGGCATATCCCCAGTGGGGGGTGTGCAGGAGGCAGCTGATTGATGACTCTCTTATCGATGTTTCTAACTCTCCCTTCCTCTCTGTACAAAATCAATAAAATATATATTTAAAAAAAAAGAAATGGTTATTTATAACTATAAATGCTCAATATTATGCAGCTATTTGCATTTTTTTAAAAAGAATTTTTTACAGCTACCGGCATTTACTCCTGTTAAAGGGGGAAGGCAAAAGGACACTACACTATATATGTACCCTACATACCATATGTAGTGTGAGCACAATGTGATAACAAAGAGGAGAAAAAGAATCATAGCACCAATGTTCATGGTGATTGGGTTTTGGGTGGTGGTTTTCCTCTTTGTATTTTTCTTTCCAAATTTTCTGCTGTGAGAGTATCTTAATTTTATAATATGGGAGAGGATTTCTTAATGAAAATGTGTGCTTTGATCTGCTTGTGGACTAGGCCTCCAGGTTCAGGGTGAGTTCACACCTATTAATATGCATTCATTCAGCCTTAGGATTTAGAGGCTAATGGGCTGCCTAGATGGAGTCTGTTGTTTTCTTAGGTGGTGCCAATGTTTACTTTGTTTAAAAATTAAATTGCTTCTTTAGTTGTTTTGCCACCTTTTTATGTGCTTTTGGAGTCTATACAGAATGTGGAGTTTTATTTTATGTTCTTTATTTCTTCATTCAGTTAATACATTAAGATATCACGGAGAGGGTGCAAAGTGAAAGAATAATTTGTAGCACCGTGCGCTCAGTACACACACATTAAATCTTACACCTGCTTGTAATAATCATAGCTCCCCCAAAAGAGTGTATTGTTTAATTGGGATGTGGATCATTTTCTAAATTTTTGTGCTTTTTTCTTTCTCCCTTTCCTCTAGATGACATGTTTGTTGACCTACCATTCCCAGATGATATGGACAATGACATTGGCATATTAATGACTGGGAACCTCCATTCCTCCCCCAACTCCTCCCCGGTCCCCTCCCCCGGCTCTCCTTCTGGAATCGGTGTGGGGTCTCACTTCCAGCACAGCCGGGTAAGGATGCTGTGAAGCGGGCTTGTAAAACCATCTCAGCCTTCAGAACATAGCCTAGAGGCATGACCAGCTTTTTACTCCAGGCACCTTTCTTCTCACTGGTCTGGGTCCTTGGTACAAGAGAAATAAATGGGAAAGCGATGCTGTAGTTGTTCCATTTTGATTAAAAGCGGGAATTTGAAAGACGTATATTATTCCTGATAAATAGTTTTCAGAAGAATAGTCTTATTAATGCCGGAAGGATTGTGTGCAATCACTGTTTTCTTAACAAAAGTTAGTTTTGGTTACTTGCTGCTTCCCAGTTATTTTTTTAATTTTTGCCCAGAGATGTTTTTTTTTAGAGGCTAGGTCAACAGTCCTGCTTATTTAAATGCAAAGTAACCATGTTAACAGAAGAGCACAGTGTGTATTCTGTAAGGAGCCTGACTCCTGTGTCAGTGCTGTGGCATGTGGTCCCATCTCTTCTGCAGCCAGCCCGCAGGAGGCTGCCTTTGGAGAAGTGCTCAGGTTATGCTAGAGTGTTAAAGGAAAAAACCAGAGCTTACAAGTAGTTTCATCTTCAAATGTCATAGGGATATGGATTGTAGAGTCAAAGGCTCAGTCATTACTCATGCTTTGTTTAAATGCTTGAGGACTCACGCCTTACCACTGTATTGTACTTTTACTTAAAGTATGAAGAGACTGAGGCGTTAAGACACAGAAGAACTGCTATGTCTAATATATTACACTGGACAAGTATAAGCAACCCTTCTCAACTCAATTAGACACAAAGGTGTACTTAGAGGCCTTAGGTTTCTGTCAGGCGGCACTTTTATCGCCAGCCCTGGTTTAACCAAGAGAAAGAAGATTTTGAAACCTAAGTCACAGCTCAGTGAAACCAGGGAAGTCCACTCCATGGCTGCCCTCATGAGACTGCCTGTCCCCACCTCCTCCTGGAAGGAGAGAATCTGAATGTCTTTATTTCCCTAGAAAGTCATTTCCCAGCTAATGACAGTTAGTTTCCTGGAGGTTTTTGTGACAGGAACACCAATTCTACACTGGACAGTTTAAATGTAGGATTACTGTGAATTCTAGAGGCAAGTCGTATATCATCAGCCAAGAATGCATGCCCTGAATGTGGATAAATGTAGCTCTGAGTGACAGCTCTCTGGCTGACTAGCTCTGCGGTCCTGCACAAGCTCCTTTTACCTTCAGCCTCATCACCTTCTCTGTGAAACGGAGGTGATACCACTGCCTCCACTACTGATCGTTGTCTTTCAGTTTATATATTAGCGTTGGTGATTGAATTGTATTCTTAGTTTTATAAGAAGCAGGTGTGCTGTATTTCTCTCTCTGTTGGAGCCCCAACCCTAAATAAAGCCTTTCATTGAAAGCCACAGATAAACTGCGCTGCTTTGAAGCTAGCTGGTCAGGTGGCCTTTCCCAGTCCACAGCACCTATAGCCAGTGACCCCTGACAGGTGTTCAGCATTTCCTCTTTCTGAGTCATTACCATTCTTTGATATCCGGTTAAGACATTACAACAGGGGAAAGAATTTGTTCAAGGTTGTAGTAAATTTTTATCTTTAACCATCTCAGATATAATACAACTTGGTTTAGTAGTTGAGAATTTTTCCCTTTTGGAACGGAAGGTGCATGAAAACAGATTACTTATTATTGCTTACATGAAAACTATACTAGTATTTCCATCTCTTGAAGCTAGCTGAAAGAATCAAAGGTGAGGAAATGCCAATTTCAGAAATGCACGGGAGTCTGTCAGGAAAGGTCTGCTGACATTCACACAAGCTCCTCCAGGAGCAGCTCATGCCGCTGGGCTGGCAGGTCGGCGGTGTCCCGCCCTGCAGGCAGTGGGGAAGGGCTGTGTGTCCTGGCAGTGTCCTTGACAGCACATGGCCAAGTGCGCTGTGTATTTGGGGTTGGCTGCTGGCACATGAGAGCAGATACCTTTAGCTGTCAGAGATTTGCTCTCTGCAGTTCTTGTTTGATACCTAGTAATGCTATGCAACAGTTAACATTCTGCAGACAAGAAACCAAAGAAGCCGAAACCGGTTTGGTCTGTGGACTGAAAGGTCCCAGGTTCGATTCTGGTCAAGGGCATATAACTTGGTTGTGGGCACATCCCCAGTAGGGGGTGTGCAGGAGGCAGCTGATCGATGATTCTCTCTCGCTCTCTCGTCGATGTTTCTAACTCTCGATCCCTCTCTCTTCCTCTGTAAAAACTCAATAAAATATATATCTATAAAAATTTTTAAAAAAGAAACCAAAGAAAAAAAAAATCGCACTTAATTTACTGATGTCATTGGTTTTGCTGGTACCTTCTGCCAAAGCAGTACTTTCCCTCAGGTACCTGTGTGCAGCAGAGACAGTGCCTCCCCTGTTGGCTTTGCTCAGTTAGCTGGCATTTGGGGTGTGATGCTGCCAGAAAGGGGATTGCTCACCACAGTGTGCAGGGTGACCTGATAAAAAGGGTGAAGGTGGTCAAAGATACAAACTTCCAGTTATAAAACAAATCAGTCACAGGACATATGCACAGCATGGTGACTAGGAATTAATAGGGTCACATGTTTGAAAGTTGCTAAGAAAGTAGATCTGAAGCCTTCTCGTCACAAGAAAAATGTTTTGTAACTATGGATGTCAACCACTTACTATGTGATCACTTTGCAATAGATACCATCCAAATATGAATGATGACATTGTACACCTGAAGCTCATATAAGTGTTATGTCAGTTATATCTCAGTGTGCTTTTTAAGTTGATTCTAAGAGTGACGTGTGACAAATGCTGACCTGCCGGGGGCTTGTTCTGTAGAGCCAGGGCGAGCGCCTTCTCTCCCGAGAGGCTCCGGAGGAGCTGAAGCAGCAGCCGCTGGCCCTGGGGTACTTCGTGTCAACTGCCAAAGCGGAGAACCTGCCCCAGTGGTTCTGGTCATCGTGTCCCCAGGCTCAGAACCAGTGTCCCCTCTTCCTAAAGGTTGGTTTGGTATCAGGTGTGAAGTTTGGGGGGAGGGGAGGGGAAAGGGGGGAGTAACTTTTGCTGAAGTTCAATTTTGGTTAGAAATTTCTGTCACCAAGGTCTTATTCTGTTCCCTGTTTCTCTCACATTCTACTTGCACTCTGAGAATATTTCAGTTACAGTTATAAGTGGAGAGTAGGATTTAGGCGATGAGCCCAAAACCATGTCACAAAGAAATGAATTACGTTAACCCCATGAGGGACTTGGTGGAGCCCATAGGGTACCTCTAGGATGGACACGGGGCTCTGTATCGTGTCTTTCTCCCGGCTCCCATTGCGCTGTTGTCAGTGAAGTTGGCCTGCATGGACGTGACAGCTAGCTGTCCTTCCTCCCTGGCATGGGCTGTCCGCATTCATCAGAGTGAGGCAGGAGGGGGCTACAAAAGCTCCACATTTACACTTGCTCTTCCTGTGTATTTCTTGGAAACTTTTAATCCAAATTAAAGGTTAAATACAAACAGAATTCCACTTCTAGTTTGGATGGAGGAAACTGGAAAGAAATCCATTTCTCAGCCACAGACTGGCAAAAACCCAAAGGTTTGACAACAGAACTCTGTTGCTGGGCTGTGGGAGAAGCCAGATTCTATGACCTACACATTTCTCTTTTAATGCTGCAGTCCCAATTCTAGAAATCTATTCAAAAGAAACTTTGGCAAAAACAAAAAGTGTCATATGTGAAAGATTAGAAACAGCTGAAATATCCACCAGTAGGGGCTGGTTGAATAAACTATAGCAGTGGAATACTAGTTGTCCATAACAAATTGAGAAGTATTTTTATGTAATTATCTGTAGAATATGGATTACTGTGCAGTAATGTACACACACACACACCCTGGAATGTTAAAACCAAAAATAATTGAAGGAATTTTTTTCCCTAATGACTTTAACATATTATTATAAAATCAAAGAAGTTATATGAAAATTCATGTAATCTTTATTTTTGAATTAGAATTGTCAGTATGACCCTACATTTATTGTTTCCTCTCTAAAAATGTATTTCAACTCTGTCTTCTGGAAGGCTTAGGAGCAATGACAACCTCATAGCAATAAACACCTCTGTTGCCGTGACCATAGTTCCTAAATACCATTTGTCATTCAAAAGAACCAGAATTCTTTGAAGAGGTGACTGATTCCAGATCTGAGACACCTTGTCATTCTTAAAAGCAAGGAATTTGCCCAAGATCATTAGAGTCCTATCAAAGGGACCCGGTGGGGGTTTTCATTGCCCAGGGATGATACCATTTGGTCATCAGAAAGAATGATGGCGGCACAGATGAAATAAGTCCATGGGCTCATAATGGTGCTGAAAAGCAAAACAGTTACCAGTCACCTATTGAAGCTGCCAGAGCAGCAATTTATTAACCTAAAAGTTGAAAAATAAAAGAGAGAGGTTCCAGCAACTTTGTTGCCTCTCCTTTATATATTATATTTCTTAGCTGTTTAATAAATAAAACTTTGTTAAAACCATTAAGTTAAAAATGGATGGGGAACTTTATAGTGGATGGAGCATGCTGGCACCTACTGAATCCAGTGACCACTTAAATTCAGGTGGGGCAGCAGAGTAAGACCTCAAGGGACACATGAGGTAGTCATGGACAACGCCAGCTTTTATTTCGGAGCATTGTGGGCTCATCTCGGGGTTATTCAGCAGCTGAAAACTTACAGGCTCAGATGCCCTGACTTTTAAGAGCACCTTCTTCTGGCGGGCCTGGGCGGGCCCTCTCTCTGCCCAGGGCCAGCTAGCCCAGGAAGGTCACTGTCTCTGTTCCTCCGCAGGCGTCACTGCATCACCACATCTCTGTAGCACAGACGGACGAACTTCTCCCCGCCCGCAACTCCCAGTGGGTTCCACATCCTCTCGACTCCAAAACCACATCTGATGTTCTGAGGTGGGTGCAGCCCCAGGCAATGCCGGCACATTGGAAGTTATTTCCTTTGCTCTTGGTTTTCCTAGGGCTTTCACTGAGGTACGGGGTTTGGGGAAGAGATGCCGCCTTTTGCAGTGGCCCACGGCGCCAGCCTGAGCCAGGCCGCAGGGCAGACAGGGCTGTGGCTTGTTAAGTGGGACAGTGGCTGCAGGTGCAACTGGCACTGCTGCCTGCTTAGCGGAGGCGTTTCATGGTGACAGAGAGGTCAGAGTGAAGGGTGGGTAGTTAGAAGGCAGTCTGGAACTTAAAGCAAACATCGTTAGCCTCTCATATCGATTTTATAAATGCAGTTAATTATAACATAAATTCCATAGTTGGGAATGCCTCTCAGAAGCGTGTACAAAGTTTCTTGCATTTTAAGAGGCCATAAGCATTCTTCATGTATCGATATGTTGAGAAAATATACAAGCTTTTTCTAATGTTTTCGGATTCTTAAGTGATTTGGGAATTACAGTTCAGCAAGAACCGGCTCATGATGATTTAGGCTTCCCTCACCTCGTGGCCACGTATCTAATGAGAACTTTTCTAATAGCCACAAATAATTTTAAAAAATGAGTGAGGTTACCTTTAGTGGCAAATTCATCAATTATATAAAAAATATATTAGGATTAACATAAAATATATTCAAAATATTTCAGCTCTCTGCATTTTTTAATTAGTATAAAGATATTCAGGAGCTATTTTACATGCTTTTTAAATGCCAAGTCTTTACAAAGCAGGGCCCTTTTATGCTTACAGCATATGTGAGTTCCCGTGTGGCCAGTGGCTGCCCTCTGAGACTGGGAGGTCGAGAAGGAAGAGGGGCCGTGAGAGGCAGGAACACAGCAGAGCCCGGGCAGTTCAGGGAGGATGCTAGCATTTGTGATCCCCTCGCCTGCCCATCCCCTCACACCCTGACCCGAGTCTTCTCTCCGCAGGTTTGTTCTGGAGCAGTACAACGCTCTGTCCTGGCTCACGTGCAATCCGGCCACCCAGGACCGCACCTCCTGCCTTCCTGTCCACTTTGTGGTGCTCACTCAGTTGTACAACGCCATCATGAATATACTCTAATGGAATAGCACTTGTCCTCGGCTCGGTTCCTTCTCCTGCAGCCTCAGTCCCGGAGCTGCTGCTCTCTGCAGGTGCCCGCCCACTTCCGAGACCACACACAGGCTGCACTGTGACTCCGCAGGCACCGGCTGTCTCCGCAGTGCTCCTCTCAGAGTGACTCACGGACCCTTCCTCACGGACTGCAAACGTTCACGGCAGGACTCCAGCCGGGCTGTGGCATGGGCGCCAGACCCCTGGCTCCCGGGAAGTCCCGGCTGGCGGTGGTTTTAGGAGGAAACAGAAGAGACGGTATCCTTTTGCACACAAGAGCCTGTGTTTCAGTCTCTGTCTAAACTAAGGGTAGGTCAGCCCTTTGGATGAAATCCTCTGGTTGTTGGTGTTTGGCCTGTGGGTTATCTGAACTCCATATTCTAGGACTTCTTCCAAATGAGAACCAGCTCAAGTTCATGATCTCACCGTGGGCTTCTCTCCCTGGTGCGCCCGTCGCGAGGGCGAGTGCTGTGGCTAACTCCATACCTGTGCGTAGATACAGAAGTCTGGAGACATCTTCATTCTGTTTATTTATTTTAAATTGTTTTGTCATAGGGTTTTTGTGACTTTTAATTTTTTTTTTTTTTTTTTTTTTTTTTTTAATTTGCGAGGACCAGGTACAGTAGCTGAAACCCAACTCAGACCCACCATAGGATTCTTTGACTACATACCTCTGTCCTAAGAACCAGAGCAGGAGTGAAAACAAATTGGGGAGATGTGCATAAAAAGAAATAGCTTTCCAGCCACCCAGTAGCAGGTTTTGCTAAGAACAAATTGGGTGAGCATTCTGCCTGTTCCTTGTGAAAGTGGCCAGCGTTCCATGAAGGGCAACACTTTATACAGAAGGCATCAAGCCCAACCTAGAGCCATGGAGCACGCCCCTCCCTTAGTTTTATATAGTCGCCAGGGGGATATATTTTCTAGTGAATTCTTATTGAAAGCCAGGTCTCTCCTCTCATTAGGTCAAAGGGGACTCATGTACATACTACAATGGAAAGTGTTTGCTCATAAAATCAGTTACAAATATGGTGAATTTTTTCTGGACCATAGTAATATTATTTCAAAGAAATATTACATCTTAACCATTAAATTAGTACTTGAAGTTGAGCCTTCGTGGTGGGACTTTTTTTAAAAAATGCCTTTTTAAAGCATTAGTGGCTAATGGAAGTGTTTTATGACTCCTCATTCCAGGCCCGAGAGGGTTGTCTCTAAGATTCCGTCCAGCCCTCGCTGGCGGCGTGTTGTCAGGCGGAGTGGGGGCTGGCCCGCGAGCCGCTCTCGCCAGGCCTGGGGCGCTAGCCGTCTGTGCAGAGAACCTGCAGACTACGAACGTTCTTCCAAGAGACTGCCATGTCCTGGTTGTTGACAGAAAGGAAAATGTAATAACAATAGGATTTTGTAAAAGTATTTTTCTTGAAATAATCTAACGTTTAAAACATTATATTAAAAAAAAAAAGTGGTGTGGTGGGAATGTGAAAGCAGAGAGATAACCTGTAAATGGATAATTTTGTTCTCTGTTCCACCAATTGAGGGGGGGTTGACTTTCGCATTGTATAGGTTTAAAAAAATCTGATATATCAAAACCATTTGTATCTAATGTGTACAGTGTAAAATTGACTTTAAAAATATTGCAGTGCTATTTTTTCTTAATCAGAAAGGAGAAATTCTCAAGGCCTTTTGAAGAGCATAAGATGATGAAGATTGTAAACTTGTATAAAATTATCTTGGTGAGAAGACAAATTGTAAAGTAGTTATTTGTAATCTTTTACCACTTTGGGGTTGCTTTTTTTTCCAGAATTCATCAGAACTTTGAATTTTTTTTTTTTAATGGCTGTTTTTAATGCAGGGCTTTTCTTCCCTAGAAACCCAATTCTAAGCAAAAAAAAAGAAAAAGAAAAAAAACACAAAAAAAACCCTACAAAAATTAAAAAAAAAAAAAAAAAGGCAGCAAAGGGTAGATTTCATCTGGTGTCTTTTATTTAAGTTTTTTAAGTTAAGAAAAGCTGGTGACATATTTATACGTTTTTGTGCAAAAATAAATGAATGGCAATAGATTTTAAAAAATCTTATTATGTACTTCTGTGTGAAAGTCTGTATAATATTTCCCTTAAATATGCATTATTTTACTTGTGAGTTTTTTACTGAATTAATCTGAAATGTACAAGCCCTGGATTTGCTACAGAGTGAGAAGTTATTTTATTTTTTTTTTAATTTTTAATTTTGGCAATCCTGCAGAAATCAGAACTCTTACTATGGTTTGAACTAAAAAGGGGACTCGGGCGGGAGGGGGTATCCAGCATGCCTGTATGTATATCTCAGAGCCTTTTTTAACTGTAAAAGCTGTACATTTCTGGGAAGTTCTGAATTTTTTTTTCTTTTTTCCTTCAAGCATTTTGCAGTGAGCTTCTTTTATATATAGCAAACAATTTGAAAGAATACAAAAATATGTGAAGTTCATTGAAAAAACCCTGCAGTATAGCGCTGGTACAGTACACTAAAAGACTTTGATAAAAGAAACAATACTAAAAGGCCTCCATTTTAAATGTCATTCATATATACCTTGTGAATGAGAGCTATATACTTTTACACACTTTTTTAGAGGAATAAATTATTGAATTACTGAGACTTCGAGTGGCTTTTTCCCCCCCTCCCATCCTGCCTTTGAAATAAGGACGATCAACACCTACCCAGGAGGTGACTGTTACGGACTGGACAGTCCTCGCGAGGAGCCCGGATGTAGATGTGTACCGCTCCCATTACTCCCCCGTCCCCCCAGCGCTGTTCCCAGACTGTGTTCTCATTCTCCAAGGGCAAGTTCACGCTTGGAAATTTCAGTGTGCACACACTCTCACACACACACACACACACATACACACACACTCATACACACACACTCATATACACACACACACACACACACACACACACACACACACACACACCACTGAATAGGAGCCCCGATGGTTAATTCTTCAGCTGTTGGGAGTGGGTGGCATTTAACAGTTTCCTAACTCTAGGCTGTGGTCAATCCTAGAACAAACTACAGGTCCATAATTCGACCGTTCTCTCGGCAGCCCCAGCCAATTTCTTCTTGCTGTTCCTTAGAGATGGCAGACGCAGCTCCCCTTCCTGCTCCCCGGCCGGCGGCTGGTGAAGCCCCGTGCTGTGGACCACACCACCCAGCGGGAGAGCCCACCGAGGAGGGAGAGCGCATGCTCTCGGGGCCCAGGACGTGGGAGCGCTTACAGTCAGAATCGGAATGAGCAAGACGCTGCTGTTGGTCTCCCCCCCGTCTGTTTAGAAATGAACATTGCTCCGAATCTGAGGCTGCCTGAGTCTAGAGCTAAAGCTGTTGAGACCACTCAGCTTCAGTTTGGTCCCCAAATGGGGATGAAGATGGGGCCCTGGGAAAGGCTTTGCCAGCCACAAGGCGCTGTCCCTGCTGGCCTCCGCTGTGCCGGCGAGGAGGCTGAGAGGAGTGAGGCCCCATCTCAATTCAAAGAGGAAATTGTCTCTGCCTCACCGAGCCCCTCTCCACGGTGCCAGAAGCATCAGAGAAGTCCAGCACTAAGGAACTCCAGCACCTTCCTGCTCCTGTGTCAGCCCGGGACCCCTGCGACCCTGGCAAGGCGGCACTGGGCGGTGTTTCCACAGCATCCGTTAGGTGCATGCTCCGCTGGGCATCAGTGGGTCTTCATCCAACCATCAGTGCGTGTCGGTTTTATTCCCACGAGGGATTCTGCTTTCGCATCCACTGCCAGCGGTACCCATTGGGCAATTGAGGTGGGGGAGATTGTGTGGAATGCATTTAGACACTTTACAAAGTGGATGCCGCCAAGTCTGACGTGGTCCTCGGGAACCGTATTGCCGTTAGCCATTGGCCTTGCTCGGATTCTGCTAACCCCCAAGCCACCTCCCAAGCATGCCAGCGCCGGGCATGCTCCTGCTGCCCGGGAGATCCTGCGCCCGGGCTTCGTTCCTGCCGGCCTCCACGAGCCGGTGAAAACCTTCATAGCAAGTGCAGTTGGTCCATGGGAGTTTTTAAAGGCAGAGTTCGTAGAAGGGACGCACTGCCCAAGCATGAGCCGCAGACTGCTGCTGGTCATTCAGACAAGCAAGCCGTTCTCCAGAGGAGACTTCACCTTGGCCATCTCTGCGCGCTGAAGCCCTGGCGGGGCCGGTCTTAGTCCATCACCGTGTTCTCTCGGTGTTAAACGGTTCGCTCGCTAATATCCCCTTGACATAGAGGTCACTCTAACTGTAATTATTTCATGTCTTCCATACCTGATGAGGCGTCATTAGAACATCCCGTTGTGCCCGGTAATTACGGTGATTTTTGTGGTTGTAACCGTTCCCCTGGGCGCCGCACTCCGCCTGGAACCAGACGGATCAGTCTCACCGCTTCCCCTGGAATGCTCAGGTCAGGCTCCGAGAAGACGCTGTGACACTTCCTGCTTCTGGCTGGACCTCCAAAGGATGGGGCCGGTGAGAAATAGGCTTGGGGAGGAAGCACGTTGGGTCCCCGGGAAAGAGCTTGGATCAGACTAACGGATTGACTTTTCTCCAGAAGAAAGGCTGTTTGCTCAAGCAGCATTAGTTAGCAGGTGTGGGGAGGCGCAGGCAGACCCTGGGTCGGGCTCCCTTTTTTTTTTTTTTTTTTTTTTTTTTAACAAGCAGGGATGTGAGACAAGCACAGGTTTTCTCTTAATATCCAAAACTGGCATTTGTTCATTTATAGGCGCCCAAGCCAAGTCTTCGCAGAGAGAGCTTAAAATGACCCGGTACTCAGAACAGCTGGCGGGTGAAGGCTCGCCCTCCCTGCTCCTGGCTCGCAGGTCAGGCTTGTTCAATCTTCCTGCTGAATGAAGTGCAGCCTCAGAGGCCAACACGAGCAAATGTTTGCTAGCAGTGGTCGGCAAACCGCAGCTCACTAGTCCCATGCGGCTCTTTGGCCCCTTGAGTTTTTAACAAAGGCGAGCTTAGGAGTGCCCTAATTAAGTTAATAACAATGTACCTACCGATATAGTATAAGTTTTAAAAATTTGGCTCTCAAAAGAAATTTTAATCGTCGTACTGTTGATACTTGGCTCTGTTGACTAATGAGTTTGCCGACCACTGTGCTAGGGGAAAGGAGAATCCGTTTAGTCCTCGTCTTACTTAATTTCAGCCCGAATGCTTTCAATGAGCAATTACAGTGAGCTCCTCCTACTTAAATCTTACTTTGTTCACTGAGAGGGCTCGATGTTGATCTTGCATGCAGCATTCCCTTAAATAATCTCCTGTCAGCTTCCTTCTACTTTTGAGCATGTGATTTTGAATTGGTGAGGAGATAATGTTTACATAGTTATACCTGCACACACCCATTTTCCCCCTGTTATCTGTGAATCCTCACCTGAGAGAAAAGGAGAAGCATTGATTGGTTGCCTTCCGTAAGCTCCGTTGAGTGGGGCGGGAACCTGCAACACGGGCATGTGCCCTGACCGGGAGTTGAATCAGCAACCTGTTGGTGCTCAGAGGATGTCCAAAACCCTGAGCCACTCTGGCCAGGCCCTGCTACTTATGTCGCTGCAAGGCTTAGGACGTTCTCTCCCTTATTAGCTCTAGGGCTCAATGTCACACATGCTTCACAAGATAAACCAATGACCTCCCAGCCATTTTCTGTGACTCATGAGAGTTCACCTGACAAGACTGAGGTGTTTTATTGAGCTGACTATGCGCTGGGCCTAGAGTGGCCTGAGTTGTTGAACACAGACCATTGAAAAAATAGAATGCAAAAAAAAAAAAATTAAATAAATAAATAGAATGCACCTCAAAAATCTGAAGTAATTTGCCAGCAAATGTATCGCATCCCGTGGAGAGAGCAGAAAATGCATATTTTTTATTTTTAGAAAGTACAGGAATGTTGTGGTGGTTGATGTAGATTTTCTATTTTGTCAAATTGAGTCATGCAGATTTTTCTTCATGGGAGGTTTTGTTTTACCAACATATTGCCGAGTATTGTGTTCCCCGAATTCTGAAACCGTGGTTTTTGGAAATCTATGGTCTTCCTCATTTCTTACAACACTTATGCCGTTTTTTTTCTTGAGGTTTTCTTTTGTTAGCAGTTTGCTGGTTCTCTGTTTTGTTTGATTT